CCTTGATGTTCTGGTCTGATCATAGACTCTTGTTTTGGGGAAGAGGGTGTGAGACACCATTTCTTTTCACGATAGATCAGGGTTTTGGGATATATAAGTTATTTTTCTTATGACAAGTTTAAACTTAGAGTTTGGTTTTCTTGCTGGGTTTCTTAAGGTTTTCAGTCTCTTCCCTTTTGCACTTGTGTTTAGATATTCATTTTGCCGTAAGTCTTGATCCTTGGGCTTGGGGAAACATTTTGCCAGAGGAATCACTGTTTGATTTTAGACTTCAAAGAGGTTATTTGTAAAATAAGCGATATAATCTAAGTTCTAATAATAAGTTTAAATGTCAAACATGTTTCATAAATTTCCTTATTGGAATCGGAAATATTAGGATTTGAATAATGTGTCTCATTCTAATAAAAGAACTTTGAGTGTGGCGTGTTAAACCGCAGCTTTATATAGAGATCTACATTTTAAGGAAAAGGAAGCAATCACCAAAAAAACAATTTATATTGATAAATTCCATTATTATCCCAATGAATGAAGTTCAATAGAGGATATATAGGTGTTATGCACTGGGATTTGGATACAGGGAATATCCCAAGGGATATACAATATATCTGCCCAAGGCCACAAGGGGACCGAAGGAAGATATAGAGATTATCCTATATGAGGTCCAGGATATTGGGATTATCCTGAGGCCAATATATCTGCCCGAGGGCCGTAGGTCCCGAGGAAGAAAGAAGTTTTCTTCGCTTTCTGTGTTTACTAAGAATTCATCCACATTATTTGATTTAAATCTTAAAGGTCTATTCACTGATGAATTTTTTTATCCAAATCAAGACGTGTATTCTATTGAATCGGTCTACTGCACCGTTATCCCTGCTTCGGACAATTGTAATATTTTGAAATCTTGTCGATTTAAATGTTCACTTTTGAATATTCATTATTTAATTTGGGTAATGTTTCTATATTTTTCATGAAAAGAATTATTAGCCCAGGAGACTGTTCTCTAAACCGGGATTCATCCTTTTGTTCACTCTCTTCATCTGCCATCTTTGTATTTTGTTTAGTTCAGTGCTGAAATAGTTATGACATGAATTCCAGGGGCGGGATATATATAGCCATCTTAAGTCCCGAAGAATAGTTTGAGCAGGAAATAAGATTTATGTATCATGATATATAATGAAAATATTAACCTGGATGTGGAATATATTCCTGGTTAATATGTCCCTGAAACCTCCTCAGGTACGGAATACATTTATATTTATGTATTAGTGTAACATTCATGAACATATTATATGGGATGCATCACGCACATCCTTCGTACCAGAGTAGGAGATTCCTCAAAGTTTATAGACAATCAGCTCAAGGCAATCATCTGTGTGTGAATATGGCTTAACTACCCTCTACCATACCAAGAGATATTCCCTGCACGCCCATTTCTCTCTTGATGTGATAGCAAAAACCATTATTATTCAATCCATATCTTGCAAAAATGTTTTGATATTGTCAAAATTGATTATTTAAAAATTATATAACTGCTTATTTCCAGTAGGCTGCCATCTTTTTAAATTTCATACAGGAAGTGATGTCATAGCTTTTATAAACTTGCCCCAAGGAAGATTTGAAGCTGTTATTCAAACTTGATACTCCATTGTCCGCGTGGACCAATTTGGTAACAATGTTATACTCATATTTTGAAGACTACTACTGCCAATGAAACTTGAATATTACCATATAGTAATCTTAATGTATAGGGGGTGTATGAAAAATAGATGTATTTTTCATATAAATATATAAACGTAAATCAAGGTAGATGGGGTGCCATTATTCAAACTAGATGCTCCATTGCCCTGTGTAGACCAATTTGGTAACAATAACTCATATTTTGAAGACTACAACTGCCAATGAAACTTTTTCTATATGTTTAAAATTATTTTCACTTCATTTTACAATTACAATACAATGTTTCTTTTATCAAGTTATTTTAAAATTATGTAAAATGATGTTATTTTGGTACAATTCCAACTTTTGCTTGTGCAATGAAACTTGAATAATACCATAATATTTGCAATGTACATATTTCAACGAAATACTTAGTCCAAATAGAATTTTATAGAAATATTTTTACTCAATTGTCCCACTCCAGGCAACTGCGAGTTTGATATTGATATATTCATGAGTGAACACAGCGAATGAGTGAAGATATTGATATCTTCGAGTGGATATAATTGATATTTTGAAAAAACAATAGGATTGTCCGTTTATCCCATGGTAAATCACCATCAGCAAAAAAAAGTTGAAAAAGAAAATTTGAAAAGAATTTTTTTAAATATTGAAAAAGAATTTTGAAAAGATTTTGAAAAAAATATTTAAGATGTTTTGAAAATTAATTAAAAATATGTAATAAAAAAATAATTCGAAACCATTGAATATCACTTTTGAAACCATCGAATATCACTTTTGAAACCATCAAATATCACTTTTGAAACCATTGAATATCACTTTTAAAACCATTGAATATCACTTTTGAAACCATCGAATATCACTTTTGAAACCATATCACTTTTTAAGAAGTGATTGAGAATGATTTGAGAATGTTTTGCTAAAATATGATATCTTGATCCCAATATCAAATATATCTTCATGTGATATTCAATCTATATCCTTACAACCATGGGATAAATAAGCAAATATTGACCCATTTGAAGATGAACTGCTTTGCAAAAGCATCACTCGGGCTGAGCTATTGTTATTTTCTAATGTAATATTAAATGATGATAATCCAAGTGACTGTCTGGATATTTTATGTTCATATCCAGTTAATATATGATCATTGATCCATTTAGATTACATATATGGCTTTTATGACCGTATATGGTAAAAAGGTGGATCTTGTCTGAACCTCACGATGTTCACATAAAATGTCACTTTAATCTTGGAAAATGTTACTGAAATTGACAACTGCCAGGGGGAAATGGGATAATAACCTCATGATTTCAACACGAGAATCATTCAAGGATGATAGTCGTAAATAATCTTTGTTCTATTGTATCATGTAAATAGGCTATTAACTGATTTAATGAACATATTTGTATTGTTTTGTCATGTACTGTAACAAATCAGACAGCTGCGGTAATAACTGAATAATCCCTCACTCATACATCACTTTTCGTAAATATAAGAATGACCTGCATAGTGCAGGTATATATATATCTTTTTTAAAATTAGAATGCTTACTTCTCTCCTTTTCTGCTTATTCCATTCTTTTTCACAATATCTTAAAATGCAACTGTATTGTTATATTTTTCACGGGTTGAATTATCGATTCCCAGAACAGTCTAAGGCTATATCCCTCCCACTATACATCATTCATAACATGTTTTGCCTAGATTTTAAAAAATACTCCCACTTTTCTATTTTTGTTTATTTATTTGTAAATAACATGATGTTGGTTCACTTCTCTCATCAATGCTGAGTCACATATATTTACTTGACGTGGGTTAGCAATTATGAATAAAAATATTTTTCTGCATGGTTTATTGCCAAGACGTATACTACCTGACTGATATATTTATATCCCACGTAAAATGAGGAAATGTCTAAGTTGAAAATGATGTTTTTTTATTTCATGCACATACACTTGCTTTTCATTGTAATTGTTATTATTCATTTGTTTTTTTTTAAGCAGAAATGCAACTCGAATTTGGTTTATGAACTTCGGATGAATTGTTTTATTATGATAGATGATATTGTTGTGGTTTTTAGACAGTCATTCTTTTCTCTCTAGGGTCAGACCTTAACCCAATTCTACCTACTTTCAGACTTTCTAGACCAATGGCCATTATACCCGGTGTGATTCAATTCTCATATGCGTAGGACTCAAGGTCAGAACTAATATTTTGATCCCATGTACAAGTATATATGGTTTCAATGATTATGCAAAAGGTCCTTAAATCTGCCTCAAAATTTAAAAAACATTTATCAGAAATTGAATTTACTTCTACTTGTACATACATGATTCCCAAAAGGTGCAAAATCCTGTAAATTATCTGTCTGCCTATTAATGGCAGGTTGCTTGATTCAGTTAGATTAAACTTCCCTTTTCAGTCTGGTTCATCTTCATTATTTTGAAAGAGTTACGAATATGATTATGATTCTTTTGTTTGTTTGTTCATTTCTTTCTTATTTTGTTTGTTTGTCTGCAAGAGAACAGTGAGGTCCAATGATTGATTGTTTCACTGAAGTAAATTGTTTTTATGTCACCACCAAAAAGTGATGACATATTGTTATGGTCTCCCTTTTTGGTGGCGGCAATCGGCAGTTGGAGGATGGAGATCAGCGTTTGGCAATCAGTGGTTGGCAATTTGTGTCTGTAACAAATTCTTAAAATTTCCAATAACTTAACAAATACTGTTGACTGACTTCAATTTTTTCAATATCATCTACAATTTCAAATCTGACTTTATAATTTTAACATTTGACCTTCAATGACCATTCAAGGTCAAAAAAGGTTAACAAAGGTCAAAAAGGTATTTTTCAACTTGCTTCAAATTAACCAAATTATTTTTTCAAAATCATGTACAAGTTGTAAAAAGTTCAAATCTGACTTTAAACTCATTAGATTTGACCTGCAAAAAAGGTCAAAAAGGTTTTTTTCAACTTGCTTCAAATTGACCAATTATTTTCAAAAACATCTACAAGTTCTCAAAAGTTTATATCTGACTATAGATTTGACCAATGATATTCCGAAGATCAAAAAAGATTTGACCTTGAATGTCCTTCTCAAGATCAAAAAGTTATTTTTTCAAATTGTATCAAATTGACCAATTTGTTTTTTCAAAATCATCTACAAGTTCTCAGAAGTTCAAAACTGACTTAAGATTGAACAAATAATATTGTGAGCAACTAGGTGGTTATGTTTTGTCATGTTAATGCCTTGTTGATAGATAGCATTTATACTACACTATACAGTTTATATTATATTAGGATATATCCTTATATTCTTTCAGATCATAGAAGTATTCAATATGGGAAAAGTCAAGTTAAAATACTGGTAAGTAAGACTGATTTTTTATTTATAGATTTTAAGATGATGTTATAGGTGCAATTTTAGCAACCATGATTTACTTGATAAGTGTATTACAGAAAAGTTTAATAATGTAATCATGATAGAAAACAGTTTATAAACCTCTAGGCTTTATCCTATATTGCATCTTGAATTGGCTTTGAAATGGAGCCTCATTCTACATACAATAGAAGCCTCATTCTACATACAATAGGGGCCTTTCTCTATATAATAGGGGCCTCAGTCTACATACAATATGGGCCTCAGTCTACATACAATATGTGCCTCAGTCTACATATAATTGGGGCCTCAGTCTACATACAATAGGGGCCTCAGTCTTCATACAATAGGGGCCCTAGTCTACGTACAATAGGGGCATTGGTCTATATACAATAGGGGCCTCAGTCTACATACAATTGGGGCCTCAGTCTACATACTATAGCGGCATCAGTCTGTTTACAATAGGGGCCTCAGTCTACATACAATAGCGACCTCAGTCTGTATACAATAGGGGCCTCAGTCTGTATACAATAGGGGCCTCAGTCTATATACAATAGGGGCCTCAGTCTTCATACAATAGGGGCCTCAGTCTACATACAATAGGGGCATTGGTCTATATACAATAGGGGCCTCAGTCTACATACAATTGGGGCCTCAGTCTACATACAATAGCAACCTCAGTCTGTATACAATAGGGGCCTCAGTCTATATACAATAGGGGCGTCAGTCTATATACAATAGGGGCCTCAGTCTACATACAATAGGGGCCTCAGTCTACATACAATAGGGGCCTCAGTCTATATATAATAGGGTGCATATAAGAGACAAAACCTTGGAGCATATTCCGTTAGATTATACAGATGCAATCTTATAGGGAAAACAATATTATGTTATGTTTGATAAAAAAAAGTAAAATCCATTAGTTGATTGTTTCATCCTCTTCGGGGGCAAGATTGAGTACTAATTCCAGGTAAAGCAAGGTCAAAATGTATGCCTGAGATCTCAGTCGGGTATAGTGTTAATGGAATATGTAGTAATACATAAAGAGGCAAAGCCTGGCAATGAAAATTGGAGAATTATGATATGACTACCTTGAGATTTTATTTCCCCAATTTAGTTGAAAAAAACATCTGAATAAATATGTTTCTTTATAAAATTTTGACGAGGCAGTTGTCTAGCTTGCTTCTTGCCTGCCTAGGTCCAGATGAACACATAATTGCACAATAATGACATATATCAAAATATTAACTGTAGAGATCATTCAAGTATTGAAATATTATAAGCCTGAATTTCAGTTGTACACACTTTCCTACCATGCACTGAACAAACATTTGGCTATTCCTTGAATCCTGATTAGTTGAAATATGTTTTCCCTACTTTGGACTCATTAATGTGTGATGTGTTACCACTAAGAGGTGGTGATATATTGTTGTTACCACTCAGAGGTGGTGATAAATTGTTGTTACCACTCAGAGGTTGTGATATATTGTTATGGTACCACTCAGAGGTTGTGATATATTGTTCTGTTACCATAAAGAGGTGGTGATAAATTGTTGTTACCACTCAGAGGTTGTAATATATTGTTATGGTACCACTCAGAGGTGGTGATATATTGTTGTTACCACTCAGAGGTGGTGATATATTGTTCTGTTACCATAAAGAGGTGGTGATATATTGTTGTTCATATTATTGAAACCATTGGTTGCCATAATGCCATGGCAACAGGTACTATTAATTTTTAGAGCTGGTTGTCATGTGAATAAGATGTTGGTAAATTGCTTTAAAAACTGAAATGATCCAATCAAGCCATTATATGGTTGCTTATACAATTCCACTATAATTTTTGTATTAAAACCAATCAGCAGAAGTAGCAGAAAAAGCGTTTATATTTATTCAATATTTATTTTTCAGTGGTGTTCATTTTAACGCTCCTCCCAATGTGTCACCTACCATAGAACAGATTGACCAATCATTTGGAGCAACACATCCTGGGGGTAAGTATAATTGATATCCAATGTGAAAGTTAGGATATGAGTTGTTATTCCAAATGACCATATGATTGTCTTCTAGAGAACAAATTGAAATATCAATTGGTGCAATACACCCTGGGATAAGAATAATTGATACCCAGTAAAGGATATGAGTTATATCCAAAAGAAGATTTTGATATCCAAATAATGATGCCCAAATTTAAAGTAAAGATCATCAAAGCTTCATTATTATAGACACCTAAATTCTTTTTGTAGCATGTTGAAATCCATGTTATTCTTCAGAATCTTTGTTATATTATCAGTGTGTGAATATTCATTTATATACACTTATTGTTTCAGTATATGACACAGAAAAACAGTTGTTTACACTGAACTTCAGAGGTCTTTCATTCTCCTTTCCTATAGAGTCCAAGTTTGAGGTAAGCTTTATTCTCATTTTTGAATAGAACTATTGCTTAAAATTGCTGAAAAACAGTGACTCAGATTACAAAATCATCTACCATGACATGTTTCGCAGGAAGCTTCAATTTAATTTTTTAATAGAACCATTGGTTAAAATTGCTGTAAAACAAAGACACAGATTACAGATTCATCTACCATGACAATGTCTCGCAGGAAGCTTCAATTTAATTTTTGAATAGAACTATTGCTTAAAATTGCTGAAAAACAATGACTCAAAAAATGATCTACCATGACAATATCTCGCAGGAACTTCTAGAAATAATTCAAACCAATTTTCTGTATTCCAGCCAAAGTTTACGCATGGTCTTGGTTCAATCCAGTTTCCCAGCCGTGCCTCGTCTCCTGTTGTGTCAAAGATGTGCATATATGCCGGGCATGGTCTCAATGATACCAGGTATATAGTATATATATAATATAAATATAGCACACAGTATAGATCAGGTAATTTGAAAAATGAATAAAAAGGCTAAAAAGACATTTAATCAACACATTTGAAAATTTTTAATCATGGTCTGGACTCTTAAAAATGCAAATATGCATGCTTGCTCAGCCGACACATAAAGCTCATGCCTGCTGATGAAAATACAACTATTTACAAACCTGCTTTATTTTATTAGGGCCCCATCAATACCCCTAAACTGTTTCCATGGTAACTGTTACACTGACCGTGTTGACATCATCAGGGAAAATAATTCAACCAAAGCACTGAAATTTACCGTAGTCACAGAAGGTAAGGTTGAATGATGGTGAACTGTGGTTTGCTGGTAATATAGTACCCCAGACATAACTACACTGAAATCAAATACTATAAAAAGTAAAAAATGCAGAGTACAGTTCATGAAATTTATTCCAAAATTTGAAAAAGTGCTCATTTCATTTACCCTTAAAACAAATATGGAATAGTATTTTGAAAAATATAGATAGTTATTAAAAACTTTCTATGCTTAAGAATGAGAAAAAGTAGCCAGAGAAATTACATGATTCTTAAGTGTGGCTGTCTGGGGTACTACATTTTGATTAGGAGTTGTATTAAGGATGCAGTACCAGGTCAGCGTAGAAAAAGTTCCAGACATTAGATTTTGCTCATTTTTTTTTACAATGTATCACTATGATGTTATCATCATCCAAGTGCAATATGAAGAGGATTGACCGTCTGGTAATTACAAAATAAAAAAATTATTTTACCCACCCAAAATGAATCTTTTTACTTTTTTGAGTTTTCAATAGAGCTGGCACCTTTCGAACCCTGGTTTTCGTATCCACTAATTGCGACTCAAGAACAAGTCTTCCCATAAAAGTGAAAGGGATAAAATATGCTTGATAAAATGTTTGCAATTTAATTCTTTTCTGGAAACACTATTATCGAAATAAACAATAATTTTTGAATAAGACTAAATGCGAAAATGACGTTCTTGGGAGCTAGCTCTCTCAAACCGGAAGTCAAACCTGCGCAAACAGACGTGAAAACCGACCCGGTGATGCATCCTTAAACAAGAAAGGGGCAGACTGAATATTGAGTTTAAGTCTATGGTAATTCAATATCATGTTGACTCAATTCTATTGCACTGGGACATCAGGACATATGACTACTGCCACTACTGTAAAAGTGTGTGCAAATAAAAATTGAATTAAATAAAATAATAAATAACTGAATAAATCAAATCTATTATTGGAGGAAACTTTTCACTAAATTCAAATATGATATTAAAAAGAAGGAAAGGTAAGTCATTAGAGGTTAAATATGCTAATCTCTTAAAACTCTCAAAAAAGCGAGAATTAGCAAGATTTCAAAGCTATTTAGGAGCTTCTCTATTTAATACAATGAACTTGTAATATTTTTGTTATCTTCCAGGCAGTGGCCCAGGGAAATTAGCAGAGCATAGGAGACATGTTATAGAAAGAACAATTGCCTTCAGCCAGTCATGTGAGGTAATGGAGATTGATATCATTTACTTACTGATTTATTTCAAAAAGTACTTCTTCATAATTGAAAAATAGTTGACATCAGATCAGTTCAAAAAGGTTTTGTACTTACTTACTTTTGTTCTAACAAGGATGCCCCAGTAAGATTTTTCTATATAAATTATATGATATATTTTAAGATGATCATTATATTATTTCATATTTTATGTTGTAACAAGTTGTCTGAGGTGTAAGATGTTACTGTAAGACAGTTAATCTATTTTTTATTTTAGGATGTAACGAGTTGTCTGGGGTGCCCTAGTAAAGTGTTTTACAAAGCAGAAGACAAAATGAAAATCCATTCCCCAGACGCACACAAAATGGTCAGATCTCGCTCTTCAGATTTTTTCTACAACTATGTAACGCTTGGCTTGGTATGTAGGAGTTTGGTTTATATGGTAATCTGTGATACTGGGCTATCTTTAACTGGTGATGTCTATTTTTGAATCCATGAAATGATGAAATAATGTTAAAATGCCATCGTGTAATATTCTTACATTGGTTTTTGCAATCTTGTACATTCTTCATTTGCTGTAATGATGTTATCTTTTTTGACTGAATAAAGACAAATTTGGAAAACTTATTAAGACAGACAATCTTACTCAGGTTCTCATGTAAGATACCACATAGGGAGATAAAATCTGACCAATTCATTGCAATTTACTATTTAATGATGTGCCAAACATTTCAAGAAAGTTACATTGGATATGATGATATTACGTAATAATGACATGTATTGCTAATAGGGGGATGCCTATGTTTTTCAGGATATATTATTTGATGCAAACACAAACCTAGTTAAGAAATTTGTACTTCACACCAACTTTCCCGGTCACTATAACTTTAACATGTAAGTCATTTTTTCTCTCATTTCAGGGTTCTCACTAGGCTTTTAGACTCCGGAGATTCTCCAGAGTCTAATGTCTTTAGACCATCTTGCTCCAGAGTCTAATAGCTTCTCCGGAGTCTAAAGTGTTTTTCTGGAGTCTAATTTTACATTTTTGTCACATTATTATCACGGTAAAAAAAATATTTGAGAAAATACATAGAACTGGATACAAACAAGGAATAGGAAGTCAGAAACCTTTTAGAAATAAATATTGGTGTTAAAATAGCAAGATAATCTTAAGAAGTATGTTGAAAAGTATACTAATAGGATATCTCTGATATCACATGGGAGAGAATTAGTCGCGATACTGCGAAAAAAGCAGTCAAAATACTGCTAAAAATCCGGGGTCTAAAAATTTCCTGGTGAGAACCCTGCATTTACATCTTTTTACTTTAAAATCACATTACTACATCACAAAATTGTAAAAACTACATTGAGTGACACTCCCTCATCTATGCCTTGTACTTTATTGATAACTAAGAGCAATACAATCTTTTGAAAAAAACAACAACATGTAACTAAACGTGTGTGATAAAAGAATATGAGTTACATTTTGTTTTACATATACTCCGAGTTCACTGGTTTCCCCTTTTGATTTTAAATTAGAAAAATTTGACGGATAAAAATCATTTAATGAGCATCCATGGATTACATAAAGCCAATTGAATGAAAGTTAGTGAACAAAAAGCAGTGTAAATTTTTCAGTAATATTTGACTTGAAAATTGATTGCAGGTATTATAGATGTGAGTTTAGAATTCCAGTGAAAGTTGATCTTAAGAGACATAAAGGTACCTTGGGATCAGAGATACTAGAGGGTGACACCCTCATCATTACACCATACTCTAAGGTAGGACATAATGTCATTCTTTATTATAATTATCATATTGTCCTTGTCATATGCTGCTGTCATATGCTGCTGTCATATGCTGCTGTCATATGCTGCTGGATAGGTGACAGCCACAAAAATCTTGTCAGCAGAATTCTAGGAATACTGCTAACCTATTCAATTTGAAATATTTACAGATGATCAGACGAGTGCAAAGTTTTGGTTCGATTTTGGGCATGCTCGGTAAATTATTTGGCAGCCATTTTGAATATTTCAACAAATAAGGTGAAATCCTTATCAGTGTTTTGTTTCAGGATTTAGACAAAATATATACCTTGTTACCTGTGACATGGATGATTGACATTTTTATTATTTAGTGTTATTTTTATTTTCTTGAAAGTTCCATCTTATAACACATCCAGGATGTTAAGAAATTATAGTTGTTTCCGTTGTAACAAAATCCTTGACTCCCACACTTTGTTTGGTTATGAAAGCTACCTTATGAAACACACGCAGGTGTCTTTTGACATATGTGAATGTCTTAATATGCACTACAATGGAGTTAAACATCATATAAGTAATTCAATCTTATATAGCAAGTATACTATTACTGAGTAATCAGTAGTAACAGTAAAACCTCTATTTCTGAACACTAATTTCATATCCAATCTGAACATCTTTTTTTATGAACAGTTTTTTTGTCCCATTTTTGAAATTTTGCCATAGATTTCCATGTTAAAAGAACTTGAAATGTAAACATGTTCTTATCCATTGCCACTTTCTTTAGTGTATGTATGTGGCAGGTTCTACTGTACTCCTATCCTTAAGACTTCATTTACCATATTGGTCTCCTCCTACTACAAGTATGTAACTTGATGCAAGTTCTTGTTTGAAATAGCAGACAACTTAAAGGTCTCGAACAAACTGACATGTACAAATGATATCACAATTGTATCACAATGACGACTGTATAAACTATATAAAATTTTGTTGATTAAAAAAAGCTATAGATAGAAGTCCACATTTAAAATTCACGTGGCTACATTTTCAGTTCAATCCCATTTCTAGTTTGTAAACACTCAATTGAGACAATGTCTGTGAGACGAATTAATATCAACAATAAGTCGAACATTTTGTGCATATGCCTCATGTAATTTAATATATTGATATTATTATCTACAAATCAAGGCATTTAACACATGAAGTAAAGGGCCTTCTAACATAAATATTGTCCATTTTTAATTGTGCAAATTACACCCCAATGTTTAATTTGATGAACTTATACATGTTGGTGTATTTCAGTGGGACATTATAGAAGACTTCCTCAGGAAGCCAGACGAGAGGCCAGTAGTTTTAAATAGATCTTCATCCACAAATACAACCAATCCATTTGGGTCAACCTTCTGTTATGGCATTCATGATATGATCTTTGAGGTAAGTTGTTGGAATTATGCCCAAAAAGCACACATTCAGGGGTATTACATAATGTCAGATGGATCAGGAATGGCTATTTCTAAAGGCATTGTCAAACCCTTTGCTATTTGGAATGTGTAAGTTTTACTTATGTATGTTTTTGAATAATATCAGTGGCCTCCCAAGCACCCTTTTCCTACTATCCACCTCAAATTTTCCACCCTCATAATATCTGTCCACTTACCTGCTAAAAAGTAGTTAAATTGTCATTTTCTTAAAAGATAAAGGTCTAAAAAAACAGCACCTTGATTTAATTTAAGGAACTGTAATTTCCAACTCCTTGATATCTAGTTGAACTGTTTTACAAGAATCACCTGTTTAAAGTTAATAATTGAATATCAGATAAATTCAACAACCCCTTAGTTCTTAAAGTAACAAGTGGTCTCAAACTTTTTTGTTGATGGTGTTTGGCGATTGGTGTTTGGTGATTAGTGTCTGTAACAAATGACAGGTGGTAACACTTTGCATGTTAATGCCTTGACACTATTGGAAACAATTTTTACAAAAATAGAGTTGAAGGCTAACAGATGGCAAAAAGTTGGTGAATTGGCCAAATGTTTAAGCTTTTTCCAAGACCAGCCAATTTCTAAATTCTGGCCTTATTTAACAGGTCAACCACCAATGTTAAGTTAAAAGTAATTTATGTTGACAAAGTTGGGAATAGGAAGATGTACCAATGATAATGTCTCATATTTATTTTAATTTGCCAATTAAAATTCCAGGTGATTCAGAACAACCACATCGCATCAGTGACATTATACCAGCCCACTGGCACAACCAGCCAGTCTAGAACTTGAGACAGTCTTTGCTTAGGTGTATTATACATGTCTATAGGAGAACATCTCTTGGAATCTGGAATGCAGTCTCGTGTAATTGGGAATATGAAACTATACCTCATGAAGTCAAGAATCTGGGATCCTACTGTGGGATGTCACCTTAAATGTGTGTCACATTAAAATGTGATGTCACATTAAAATCTGGGATTCTACATTGCAGTGTCATCTTAATTCGAGAATTAGAAACTTTATTATATGGGAAGTCATCTTATTTAGACATTTGACTCACAACTTTAGAACAGATTTTCAGATGATTTAGGGACCACATAATGCCAGTTTGCAGTTGAAATATTGTGTACTTTAAGCCTGGTATATTTTGGGTGTGAAATATTCTGTCAGAAATGTAAGGATCCACATAAAGATGTCGTCAAATTGATTAGGTTTAGTCAACTTTTAATAATGTGCTATATGCAACTGCAATAATTTTATAGATTTTGAGATCTCAGAGTTACCATGCTTAAAGTATTATAGTAATACATGAATACAGTATGCCTGTCTAAAGCAAACACAATTAAGAGCAGATGAATGGCTTTTTGGAATATTTGCCAATCCACTGTCCTGATGAAATGGAGCCAGTGATATCAAAAAGGTGTTCACATTTTAGGATATTAACTTTTGAGATGTGTTCAGATAAAAAGGTTTACTATTGCTTTATATGGAGTAGGATTGTAAGTGAGAAGCAGCCCCATTTAGATGAGGGTACAGGATAAAGTTTGGTCACATATTCCACATAGACTCTCCTTATTAGATGTGCTCATAGTATTGTTATATTTCTTAGAAGTTTTGAAAATGAAAAAGAAAAAATGGAAATGTATGTCATTGTTTTTTCAAGAAAAAAAGTTATCCCTCTTTTCACACGCTAGACACTTTAAGTTTCAAATTCTGCAGACGTAATAATGAAGGTGCACATATATATATATTACCCAAATCCAGGGTGAGGGACTGGCCTCAATCACATTTGATCTTCAGCTGCCATAGCTTCCCAAAATCTGAGAAATATGCAGCATGAAATATAGGGATAAGCATTACGGTGTCAATTTTCTACCTCGATTTTGTGAAGCTACGGCTGCCATAGAGAAAATGTAACCGAGGCTTAATTAACATACATTATGTGGCTCATCGCTTATCTCCCAATGTAATGTCAGAACCTAAAATGATAATATCTGTAGTTCTCATCATAAGTTACTCTTAAATATTTTGATTTACAGTGACATGTAATTTACTAAATCAATTGACTTGATATTTTTAGAAAAATAGGTTTATGTAATGTCATTGTCTTTTTATTGTGGAAGTTATATTTCATTTTGAATTAAGAATATATGGTTATTTGGTATAAGAACTTTGGCTATTAGTCATTTAAAGGCTTCATATGTACTTGTATATAATCAAATGACATATTATATTGTATATTCAACTCCTGATCTCACGTCCATGAAATTATTATTATTTAAGGTGGGCTGAGTTTTATTTTGTATTATCTTTTATCAGCCAATCAGTCTGATTTCTAGGGTCTGAAATAAAGCTGTGGAGTAAACAATTAGATGATGGTCAAGAGCTAGGGCATGGCCCATAGCTAGGGTTACAAATTTGTGATAAGCCAAGATCATCGTTGTATATGTTTTTTTAGTCATCATTGGTATTGATCAATGTCCACAAAGCTGCAGAAACCGTTGCAGTTTGTAATGTTTGTCATATTTACCTTAACAATATGACCTTTCTCACATTAAAGCAACTTGATGCTTTCATCAAATTGAAAATAGTTTTGAATTAATTTGAGGATTTAGAAAATCATAAAACATGGTAATATGAGAAGGTACCCCAAAGTTGAGGAAATCACTTGAGAGACCACTGATCTATGTTGTTGTTTTTAGAGGCCATCATAAAAATAACCAATCAAATGGCTTTGTTGTATATATAAGATTTATTATTTGCATCATGGTATGAGTGACCTGTCAATATGTAAATAAATTGGAAAAGATTTTGTGAGCAAAATATATTAACATGCAGTCATTAATGAAAACACAGTCCATCTGAAGGCTTTAATGACTTAATGTAGAATTATATAACAGTTTTGCAATGAAAAATTGAAATTGATTGCCTGGAGAGAGGATCACGGGGTACCATCGAATAATTTTGGCAACGTACCGGAGAACGACATTTTACTAAGAAATGGCAATAATTTAGCACAATATATTTTTTAACTAGAGTTCTACTTTGATTTTGACAAAAGTAAGTATTCCATGCAATGGCTATTTCATTCATGAGTTTGTAGGAATTCTGTTGGAACCCAGTTCTGATCAAGTACGAAGTTATTGAAATCGGCGCAGTCGGACTTTACTCCGAAAGATGGTTTTTCGATTATAACTTTTTACAACATTTAAGTATAGACTTTTGAAAAAAGTACAGAATAGTCCTTATACTATTGAATAATTCTGTTATTTCTGATTCACACGACTCTGATTTGTTTAATTAAAAAAAAGTTTTAAAAATATTACTTAGGAACGTAACCGGAGCAGATCAGTTGAATTATATAATTAAAAAAAATATATATGATTTAAAGCAAATACGCGTTCGAACAATCCCGTATGTTTTTAAATTAGTATATGTGCTTTAAATCATATATTTTAATTTTTTTGATTAAATAATTCAACTGATCTGCTCCGGTTACGTTCCCAGCTCCGGTTACGTTCCTAAGTAATATTTTTAAAACTTTTTTTTAATTAAACAAATCAGAGTCGTGTGAATCAGAAATAACAGAATTATTCAAAAGTATAAGGACTATTCTGTACTTTTTTCAAAAGTCTATACTAAAATGTTGTGAAAAGTTATAATCGAAAAACCATCTTTCGAAGTAAAGTCCGTCTGCGCCGATTTCAATAACTTCGTACTTGATCAGAACTGGGTTCCAACAGAATTCCTACAAACTCATGAATGAAATAGTTATTGCATGGAATACTTACTTTTGTCAAAATCAAAATAGAACTCTAGTTAAAAAATATATTGTGCTAAATTATTGCCATTTCTTAGTAAAATGTCGTTCTCCGGTACGTTGCCAAAATTATTCGATGGTACCCCGTGAGGATGAGCTACATTTTTTGATTCTAAAAAATTACATAGTCATTATAGGTCATGGTTTATTTTTCAGTATTCCATCGTTATACTCGCAATTAATCATTTTGATTTGTAAATGAGCATTTATAATTTATAATTTGCAATGTATATTATGTACAAACATTTATTATTACCATGTACAGTTATTGAATTTATATATACAGTTGTAATATGTACATTTCTGGTTACTTAGGGTTAAGATGAAAATGTCAGTACTTGCAAAAGTTATAGATGACCTTCCCTAACTTCCCAACGAAAAAAACAATTCATAAAGCAATATTTATTATTATTTACACTGAACATTGGCTTCCCCCCAAAAAAACCCAAATGACTGTCTTTCCTTTGCAAATAATGACATTTGGGATCATTCCCTGATGGTAATAATGTATTTAGTGTTGATCTCATAAGGGCTCATCTCATAAATTTAACACTTAATTCTACATATTAGTTTTATAAATTGCTGGACCACCCAAGTCAGACTCTATTGAAGTGGAGCTTTGTTTGATATGAAAAGATGTTCTATATATGATTCGTTGAAAATGTCATGTTAAAGGGCAACTAAAAATGAAATGTCTCGAGTTTTTAGATGACCCACAGTTTAAATAGTTGAAATAGCCATTTCATTTTCCTACTAGATAAAGAAAATGATAATGTGTTCTTGAATTTAGTGTTACAAGTATGAGATGGCCCCCTAACTCACAGCACAGCCCATCAGCAAGCATTAAAGTGGTCAGGTTTTAAATTGCAAAATAGTGTAGAATGGAGGGAGTGACCGAGGAAAAAAGTAAATATGCATTACATAGAAATGACAGAGGATTAGATACTTTATTAAAAAATTAGAGAGAAATGAGATGAAATAGCAAATTAAAAAGTAAACATGGATATTGTTGATACTTTGAAATGGGGGAGAACAAGTGTGGCCAAAATGCTAATTGTTTAAAGGTCTCACATAATGTTAAGTTTGAAAGTATTGTTGAATCAATCAAATATTATTTTTCATGGTTTAAAAAACCAGTTTGAGATGTATTTATCAAAAAAGATCCTTGATAACATAGGGTAAGACTATTATATAAGCAAAAGTTGTTTAAACTTTACATAGGGCCTTAAAGTATGGGTGGCTTGCTGTATTTCAAGCTCAATTTTTCACAGTTCAAAAGCAAAGCATTCTTTGAACTGAGAAATAATGTTTCATTTAAACATAGTCATATTACTGTCAGCATAAGGTATTATCAATATATTTCTTTATTTATAAATATCATTCAATTTCTAGTTAATTACAAGTCTCTTCTCTCTCAAATTCTCTTTGAAATATAAAAGTGGATACAAGGAGGGGGGTGATAAATGACTGCATTGTTCTGTAGATATAACATATCTGAGTGCATTTAATACAGGGATAACATGCAGATATCTCATAAAGAGGAATTTTATTTTCAGTCACAAATTTTCAATTCTCATTTGAAATCATGTACATATACATGCCAGTACCAGGTGCCAGTATGAAACATAAAGCCTTTCTTGAACATTTGTTTAAATTAAAACTGCTAAAGACTCGCATCTCATGTACGTTAGGAGCAACTACTCCCTTGTGAAATCACTATAAGACACATTGGTATAAAAGCTTTCTTAAAGATTTTACCAAACTTTTTGTGTACTTGTACCATATTATTGTGTTTGGTGACAGTTACTAAAATTATACAATTTGCATATTATCAGTTATCACACTCATTCATTTTAAAATAAAAAATAAAAATGTTAAAATAACAAATAAAAAAATAAAAAAGTAAATTATATAAAATGTTGTGTTAATTTTTCCATTGTGACTTCGATTGTGACTTGAAAACTGTCACAACTTCATCGTGGTGCCATAAAAACCTGTTTATGGTAAGTGATAAACAAGGCATTTGATGCGAAATGTCACCACCTGCCATTTGTTAGAGAATGGTCCGAACGCTGACTGTCATCACGAAAAACCATTGTAGCTACTTAGTTTTTAGATAGTTAGCTAAAAATTACCATCGTAAAAATCGACAGGGGGTAGTCAATTTGACGCCCCTCCCCCTGTATTTGTAGAGTTGAAGCCTGTTTACGTTTAGAGATTGAAAACAATTCTTTAAATTTTTCTAACTATTGTATTAAAGAAACAATTAAAACATTAACATGCTATCAAAGGGAGGCTTCGGCTTGCCAAACTAATGGATAGGAGTGTAAATAGGGGTTATGTAAAGACTTATATTTGCATCAGCGGGAAGATATGGCTTTACGTCCCGCTCCGAGCGGGCAGATGTAATATATCTGCCCGCTACGCATAATCGCCGTTCGCATACGAAACTGGACACGGATATTCTAGATTACCCTACACATACATATGTATAATAACATCAAAAAATAAAATTTGATATCTATTGGCAAAATAAATAACCGGGGGATATCGCCACGATATAGTCCAGAAAACCAATATGCGGAGGATATCGTGATTTCCCGCAAAATTGAACTATTTGACACGAAATTTATTTTTCAATGATTTTACACACTCAGTTTACACTACTAGTAAGTGTAGGATAATAAGAACATCTTATGCATTTTTCAGAATATCATTTTAATCTACGCGGTGATATTGATACGTGCACTCGTTTGCTTCGCTCTCTCATGCAGATATCAATATCACCTCGTAGATAAAAATGATATTCCTCAAAATCATAGGATATCCTATAAATATTTCCAGATGTGAACCAGATGACCAAGATTGGTATGGGATAAACATATCATTATATAGTCGGTTCAGGATTTTTGGATTATCCCTTGGCCAATATAACATATCTACCCTCGGGACGAGCCTCGGGCAGATATATTGTATTGGCCCCGGGGCAATCCCAATATTCTGAAACTCATGTAGGATAATCTCTATATAGGCATCGTATTTTTACTGATTTATGAAAAATATTTAAAAATAAATGATAAAGCCACTCGAGATGACTGAATTTTTTCTCTCAAAAACTAGAATTTCAAACCGGTGTAAAAGGGTAGGAGGTCATATTAATTTATGGTCCTACTCTCCATTGATTTATATGGTGACCTCTTTCCCTTATTATCTTATACACAATAAGGGCCTTTAAAAGGGGGACCATAATCCCCGGGGACCACAATTTCTTTCACACCTTGACTTAACTCTTACCCACTTGGATGTTACATATACTTCAAATAATTGTGTAATATTGTGATGCATATATACTCTCAAATTTTTTAACATTATCTCAATTTAATACTATAGTCTTTTACCGAAGGGGTCCCTATCACTAAGAATAATATATTATTATACACATTATATTTGATGTATGTTTTTACTTATTTTAGTTGCAGTAATTACATTGGCTGGTGATGGGGTGGTTGGTGGGCTTTCCAGGCTATGAGTTCACAAACTGATTCCCGCCAGTTGTAGTCATGTGACATTTCAACCTTATCACATGATCTATGTAAATTCCCCAATGCACTTGTGCCATCTATACCTGAGATGAATATCTAAGCACGAGTGCCAAAGGGAAAGGACCAAAAGTTGTAATGGAACATAGCAAGAAAAGCAAACTCTAAGTGCGTACCAGTCAAGAAAAACAAACCCAATATATCCCAAAACCATGATCTAACGTGATTTGTCTAATACCCCCTTTCCTCCACTTAAGAACCGATATCACATTCCAAGACCAGAACACCAAGGGACATTTCATTCATAATGAAGTCATTACAATACATGTTGAAGAAAAAATAGAAATTGATAGCCAATACTCATAACATCAAAAATAGTTGTAGATACAAGTACTCATACAAGATAGAGCATTCAGTCTCAAATGATGTGGGATAGATAAAATCCAGTCTCCAAGTCCATAGGCGTTTCAAAGGGACAACATCCATTCACAAAAGCCGTCGCCATAATCCATAAAACACAATAATTCACAATGGTCATCAGGTGAAAACTATGGCTGGTTTCGATCACTTTTTCTCATTACCATTAATCATGCCATAGCCGGTATCCACCTCAAAACGTGCCAAGTGAAAAAATTGTGAGATCAGCGCCAATGTACAATTCCTACATCCTTCAGCATCTCAAATTGTAAAACTTGAAACTTCGAAATTAATGATTTGTATTTTTCAGCGAAGCCCAGAGAGTATTTCTTAAGCTTTATACAAGTACAACCTTGCCCTAACAGCTTGATCACTAAAATATGGTGTCTTGATTTGGTATATAGATATTTTGAACATGCCCTGCTATATCTAATAAGCTGGGATAAATACATGTAAACCCCATATGCTGGATTAAGTGGAATATTGCTATCCAAATGTGGAATTTTAACAATGTTGAAATTAAAGTCAAGATAGTAGAGCTACTGGGTAGAAAGGGAACTAATAGGGAGTTTAAGACATTGACGGAATAACTTAAAATGTATATTAAAGTAAGTTTATTGAACCTCTGAAAAATACATAACTATTTTATGTATACATTTGTATCGTCATAGAGATGACATAATTATACAAATAACAATCTGTTATAATAAAATATATATTAGGAAAAATAAAGATGAGGTGGATTATCCTTAACTGTAAGGAAAATTTGTATAAAGTAGCTTAAGAGCATCATCAGCAAGTTGTGAAAATATAAAAAAAGATCAAATAAATATTCTGTGAGTACTAAGAAATTCAAAGTAGCATGTCAAAAATCCCCCTACCAGAGCTCTGCGATGAGGCCTCCATAGTGCTTGTACCAGATATCAGGTGATAGCATCTGTTAACAATCAGTCAAAATAGCTTGGCTATGTGTCAGGTCTCGTTTCATTCTTCCCGAATATTCAAAATCCATTCATTCTCAGGATTGATTGGAGGTGATATTGTTAGAATAAATTCTCATTGCATTGCTCTGGTATGGGACATTTTGACATGCTATCTTGAATTTCTTAGTACTCACATTAACCCAATCCATTTTATATTTTTACAACCTACTAACAATACTCCTCGGCTACTTTGTACGAATTTTCAGTAAGTTTGGTTCATCAGTTGTTGAGAAAATACTTGTCAAAAAGTGTCTCATTTTTTGGGACACCCGATATATATAATAGCCTATTTTATATTATTGATTATATTATATCATAAAGTACCCATGCTGACCTGACATCTTTATATAAAACTACATGTATGAGTGATTTCCCTCGTGTACATCGCGCACTTAGAAACTTTCAAATTTATCAATGCCCTCCCACCCTTGTATTATCTATTTGAAATATGTGCAACACACAGTGGCGGTTATTCAATTACTGTTATTGTTAAGTTATAATGTTGGAAGTGAGGAAAAAATATGTATTTGCATACACGAGGCAACTAAAGATGCTAATATTTCTTATCTGTTTAATTGATTGTCTTGAGCATATTAGGACATGTTAGTAGTTATATAGATATGAGTCAGAGGCATAGCCAGGGGGGTGCGATCATTGGTTACGGCCCTGTGAGTCATGGTCGATCAATATGGTTTGATTTTATCACTAGTTATCGCCTGAGAATCAGTTGAGTTCCTCTTGTTGAACTAACAACCATATGCATGTTTCTTCCTGTCCTGCAACTGATCTCCTGTCACTGGTATTGATCTATGCTTTGAGCACTGTTATCTTCGCATCACCCGTTATGTTCGTTAGCTGCCTGCTGTTAAATGTAGCATAGATAGTACGGTTTCCATGGAAACGTGGTGTCATTTTCACCGTCCTTGTCAGAACATCACCAGGGCGGATTGCCTCCCTAGAAGGAAAACAAAAATATGGTGTTTCCTGACCTAGAATATTTGACCCGACTGCTTCTTTAGGTAGGTCATATTAGGGATTTGGTCCTTGGACATTCATGATGTACTAGTTCATTATCTGTTACCAATATATCATATTGTTTATTATGATTAATAGATGTGAACTATTCTCATTTACTATTCATATCACAGAACTATAACAGTAATCTAAAAACCAAAGTTAACTGTTAAATGTAAGCATAACTCACGGTATATTGATGACCACTTGTTTCTGGCCTGCACCTTCCACTCTCAACTCTCCATTGGTCATGTCAATCTCGAGTTCACTTCTTGGCATACTGATTGTGACCTCAATCTCTTCCCCGGCCACTGCATCAGTCATAGGTACCTGAAAAGAAAGTTTCCATGAAGATTATATTTAGAAAGATGGTACTCTTTCAACTTACTTCCTATGTAACTTTTAATTTATTTCCTCGAAGTCACACTTCTGTCCAATCTAATGCAAGTGTAACATGTCATTTTGAAAAAGGTATGATTTAAGAAACTTTAATTTATATGAAGTGTATAACAAAGACATTTCTCATTAAACTTACAGCAATTTGTAAATCTGGCTTTTCAATTGTAAATTTGAATATATGTGTAAAGAACTGATCAGTTTCCTGCACATGCGCACACATGTAAACTCCAATATTAGCATCTTCATCCACCTCGTTTAGGTAGTCCTTTCCAAGAATCGTCCACTCAGCAAATCGTTCTAAAAGAAAAGAAAACAGAATAATAGTTATACCATGTCCTCTTAAAAGTTTAAATTAATGTGTGAATAATATCAAATAGTTTATTCAATGACGTAAATAACCCGTCCTTTCTAGAAATCTATGGTCTTGGTTCCGCCTTTAGTGAATAGAGTTTCGGTATGCAGACGATGTAATTGAAGATTACCTTGCTTTGGTGGAATTGTTACTGTGACATTATGTTCCTTCAGGGTCTCTCCAGCAATGCCAGTGTAATATGTGGCTGTTGCATCATATACAATGTCAACCGTTCTGGCTTGGTCACTTTTATTTTTGATTATTGCTTTGATAATAGCATCACCATTCTTTTTGCTTGTCTCAGAGGGTGTGAACACAAGGTCTTGTCGTTCCTCAAGTTTGTAGAGGTCACTGAGTTCTGCTTTTCTAGAGCTATGCTTACTTGCACGCTTCACGGTTTCTCTTTCCTCTAGTGATCCTACAAGATGAGTCAGTATAAGATTTGGATGGAAAATTGTACAAAGTGTCTTTTTGTCTAGAGTAAGAATGCACGAAGGCTACAATTGAAACACAATAGATATCGAGCTCTTGTATAACAGTTGGACCATTTTCATTTTCATAGTTAGAGTCTATCTGACTTGTTTAGATGTTAGCAAAGGTACAGTCTTATTGGGATCCCTTTAAGGACTTTTTGGTTTCGTTACAAGGGGAGGGGGGGGGTTTAGACCTAAATAAATTAATTACGTTTTTGAAGGACATCAGCAACTGTACCTATTGGTACCCATAGAAATTCAATAAATACTAATATGTTGTATCAAAGCTTTAGAATATTAATATCAAATATATTACAATACAATATTTTGACAGTATACCAGTGCATGTATTTTGACTAAAAAATTTTCAAACATTTTTCTTGTGTTAAGTATGGTGCAAATACTACTCAAAGGCTATTAAGATACCTATTCCCCATGGAAATAAATGTAAAGTCAGGTATAACTCATGATTTTATTTTATTTAGGTATTTTTAAGGAAATTACTTGATCATTAGATTGATTTTACCAACTTGACCTTTTTGCACCCAGTGACCTCATTGGCTCATCATTTGACCTAATTTTGAAATATTATTGTGAAGTACATTTGTGAGGATACTCTAGATGCAAAATAAGTTTAATTCTGATGGGGGCAGAAAAGGGGTCTGTTGGGACGGTACCTTTAATTATAATCATCACCATGTGCATTTTGATATAATTGTAGTACTATTTGTCTTGAAACGCATATGTACCTTCTGGGTATTTGTAATGATCAGTCACATCATTCCTTGTGTTTGACCCCACAGCTTTTGTACTGATCTGGTGTCCTATTGCATGTTGATCTCCTCCTATTGCCCTCAACTCTCCATTCCATTCCTGCACCCACTTTACTCTATCTCCATTTACCTCCCCGAATATAAACTTGGTATCCTGGCCAAGATATACAAGGCCTTCTTTGATTGCATTCACTGGTGCCGGACCACATCTGAATACACCTGAAATATGGAAAATGTTTCATAATTTTAAAACTGTTCTTATAATGCTTATATCCAGCATTGGGTCAGGCCTGCCTGCATTTAAAATGAGTGGTGACTATACTTAATGGTATATAATTATACTGTCATTTTGATTCTTGGTTTCTGCTTTTACATTTCTTTTTAAATTTGAATCTTCTAATTAGTTTATTTAGATAGATTTTGACAATAGACATATATTACCATAATTCAAGGTGTTTATGTGTAAACATCCTTCTTCACATTTATTCAAATTCCAGCACTCAAATAAAAGTATACGATGATACAATATATACTACAAAGTCATCTAGATAAATTAATCCTCAGATTCTTGTGAATGCAGAACAAATGTCATCAGATGTATCAATACTGATTTTTTACTGATCGAAAAACGTAATTTATTTTAAAACTTGACAAACCTTAAAAACAAGTAATAAGACACAAGGAAAACATTATCGAACAAAGTAGGATGTACAAGGTTTCAGTTGCTCTAATTTATAACACCTTGAAAGGAGAAGATGGTAGAATTAAGTAGTCACATATACACTCCCCTCCATAAGTTTGGCAACCTTTTTTCCCCATTGAACTACGTGTTAAAGTCTCTTTACGTTTGAATTTTTATTTACTTAACCGGCGATGAAATAACTTATAATATTAATGGAAACGTAACTTGACTTTATTTCCAAAACCTCCAAATTTTCTCATTTTTTCCTCAATTACAATAGGTCGAAATTTGATGACTTTTTGAAAATCGTCATTCCCATGTAATCCAATGGGAAGTGAAGGGTTCGGGGCAAATCAGAAATCAGGATATCTTTTCAGTAAAATATTCAGCAAAAAATATTTTTATATAGAAAATTGAATTTTCTAACTTTTTTGTACACTAAGTGTTTAGTTTATTTGATGAATATTAAAGTTACAGCGCTTCAAAGTCATTTTTGAAAATAGTTTTTCGCCTCCTGTGTTATTTCAATGGGAGAGTTTTTTTGAAAAACAATTTTGACTTTAAGCCCTATAACTTTGTTGAACCTGAAGAAACATATCAAGTTTTTGTTAAATAAAGTTAGCAAATTCAATTGCCTGCCTAACTCGTATTTTTTTCAAGGACTCGGATGGATGGATATTCTGTCATATGACTTGCGGCAAACCTACCATTTCCCATTGGTTAACATGGGAATGTCGATTTTCAAAAATTCATCCAATTTATCATCAATTTTCGGCTTATTGTAATTGAGGAAAAAAATTGAGAAAATTTCGAGGTATTGGAATTAAAGTCAAATTACGTTTCCATCAATAGTATAAGTATTTTCATCGCAGGTTAAGTAAATAAAAATTCAAAGGTAAAGAGGCTTTAACACGTAGTTCAACGGGGGAAAAAGGTTGCCAAACTTATGGAGGGGAGTGTACCTTCACTTTGCTCTTGTGGTGTTGAATCTATGGCTTGCCAACCACCCATGCCATCAGGAAGGTCAGGTCGGCTCATATAAGTCTCATTCCAAACATGGAAATTCCTATAGATATTCAATTATGCCACATTAATAAATAAATGTATTGATAAATAACACACACACACAGTAGTCATTTAAAGGAAAGCAAAATATCAAATATCAAGCCAGGCAATGGTTTACATTGTTAGCCCGGGATTGTTAGGTTGTCACCTGCCTGATGTAAAGCTATTAGATGTTGCGTTGTATTTGAAATCAATTGTTTAACTACATCTGGCCTGAAAATCTAAGAATAGTTCAACATATCATATGGTTTTCTTCACATACAGTAAAGAATTCCAAGGACTCAGACTTACCACACGGAATCATCCAGTTGCTTGAGAGGTTTCCCTGCTGGATCCCAATGATTGTCAATGGTCATGCTCAAATCGGTATCATGAGCACTCTCAAAGTTTGTCACACTCCTTGCAGGGATACCTAACGTTCTGCATACTAGAAAACACAACAATTAATTGAAAAGAAGACACATTTATAAACTCCCAATGGTTGTCAATGGTCATGCTCAAATCGGTATCATGAGCACTCTCAAAGTTTGTCACACTCCTTGCAGGGATACCTAACGTTCTGCATACTGGAAAATACAACAATTAATGAGAAAGAAGACACATGTATTAACTCCCAATGGTTGTCAATGGTCATGCTCAAATCAGTATCATGAGCACTCTCAAAGTTTGTCACACTCCTTGCAGGGATCCCCAACGTTCTGCATACTAGAAAACACAACAATTAATTGAAAAGAAGACACATTTATTAACTCCCAACGGTTGTCAATGTTCATGCTCAAAAAATCATGGCCATTGTCAACGTGCGTCACACTTCTTGTTTAGGGATCCTTTACGTACTTCGTTTGAAGATATAACCGCGAAAAGGAGAAGAAGATCTTTTCCATGTCCATTCTTTTCGACGTCAATTTAAAACATTAAATGAGCGAATCATCAAATTAATTGTAGGCTATTGATTAGAACTATAAACATTGATGTACACATATTTTTCTTTTTTTCAAACCCATTCTACAAGTAATATACTCTCATGCCTATATACTTTATAACTAGAATGTAAATTGAACAAGTTAAATTTAAGACGCCGGACTGGATTGGCCTGTATAGATGTGTAGCTAGCTGAGAAATTAGCTTAGTAGGTAGCTGATCTAGAATGCAGTTTCTTCGAAACAGGCATTCTAAAAAAGAAAACTGTCAAAATTGATAGATCCAGATTTCAAATAGCATTTTGAGTACTCACAGGTAGTCAAAATGCCTGAAAACACCCAGCATTGGCCAAATTTCACAGTGCGTTTGGTTCTCATGAATTCATCGAAGATTGCAGGACTTCCTATCCATTTGGTAGGAGCAGTACCCCCAAAGTAATCTCCAGACCAATTACCAGCTAATACACCCCCATCACCGTCATTGTCATTGGCCTGCATGTAGAACAAATCAATCAAAGAATTCGCCTCGTGTCAATAGAGAAAATGCCAAAAGAATTCATAGATGAACCTACAGGGTGGTCTTACTTTATGATCACATTGTATGTCCACATGAAAATGAACTTTTAAGCCATACAGAGGAATTCTGGGATATTTCCTCCTCTAAGTAATAGTCTATGAAGTAAGTAAATGTATTCACCCCCCCCCCCCATTTTCTACCAAACACTGGATAAGAACTAAGTACCAGGTTTGCATTGAAATTGAACAACCAGTAGTTTTCTTTATTGCATTTCAAATATTATCCGAATCAGAAAATACTGTAGTTATTTTATGTAATTGTCTTGAACCCTTAGGATTATAAAGATGGTATAAATTGTAATCCTACCATTGCAGTCAGTTTGCGTGCCACTAAAATTGGGTTTCCATGTGACGTATCCTTCAAATCAGATATTTCCAATAGATACAGTGCAGCGTTCAGGCATTGCTCTTCAAACTACAATGACAAATCATAAGATATATTTTATGAATAGATGCTTTAGTTGGAATACATGTACTGTATTTTGTTAAAATGCGCATTCAGGTACTAAAGTCAAAGAATTGAAGATGATAATTTCTTTGCTATAATTTGCAATACAGTATCTACAAAATAACAATGTGTTGCAAGCGGAATTTCTCTAAATGAATTTGTGATTCAATAACTTTTTCTTCAATCAATCTTATTTTTAAAGCTAGAAAAGATGGTGTAAAAAAAATTCAAAATAAACCACGAATGAAATATTTTAGATGGAAAAATTGAATAGCTTGTGCCATGTTAAATTCCCATTTAAATTTTGTTTTCTAGCTTTCGAAATTAAATCGATTGAAGAAAATAATATTGAATCACAAATTCATTTTTGACAGAGGCATTCCGTTTGCAAAATTTTACTGTTTTGTGGAAAATATTTTTATTGAAATATAGCAAAACGCTAATTTCTTATGCTTTGACTTTAGGTCAGTGACGTATTAAACACATGTCTCTTTTTAGATAAAGTATTAACACAAGTCAATACTATCGTTCAACAAACAACATATAATTCCAAATCGGATGTCTTTCATTATATAATTTATCTTGAGACTAGAGTAGAGCACTAACAGACGGGCTGAGAAGCAAAAAACATCGGTACTCTTTCAAGTCACATAACATTAAAACTTGTTAATACAATCTTACTTGACCAAAAAGCCAAGGTCGTCCTCTATTATTCTTTGATGATCCAATCCAGATTCTTCCAGTCTCATTTAGAATATATTCTTGTCTTTCGGCCTCGTCAGGAACGAAACATTGGTCAGCTAAAAATGAGAGGGGCTCAATTCAATACATATGATCTTCCGATTAAGGATACTTGAATTGTTGAATTTGATTTGGTGTTACTGTCACTAAAACGCTTAACTTTAATACGAAAATGTCTAGAATAGGTTTGTTTAAATTGGACCAAGCTCCAAGTAACACTGATTCAAGAGGAAGGGATGCCATTTAAAAGAAAAACGTTGGTTTCATACCTTCACACCAAGGATTGAAAAGAATCACAAGTTCTTCTCTATTCTTAAATCTGAAGTAGCTGCCTTCATTATTAATCGTCTCAATGAAGAGTTTATATTTGCCAACAACGGCATCAGCTGCAGGTTGTACTTGGATTGTAATTTCATTGCCGTTAATCTTGCTGAGTCTTGCAAACCAGTCATTGCCAGTTAGCTTATCAGACATTCGGAGTCTTACAAGTGTTCCTTTGTTCTGTTGTGGGGTCTCACCTAAAAGGTAGATTTATCACATTGGATTATTAGCATCTTAGTTTTGCTTTGATACACAGAATTACTTACTTTCCTAAATACGTCCGATAGACATGTTCCTATACATGGAAAAATGGGTATTCGATAATATTTAATTTTCACTTGTAAAATCATATTTTGAAAAGCGATTTAACAATACATGTTACCTTTTGTCAGTTGAACAATAACTTTGTCAGTTGCCTTGTCGAAGTCACTATTGAGAATGGCAGTGAATTCAAATAGCTGCCCTCTTCTCACTATGAGACTGCTGTCTTCATATTCGTCAGTGTGGTGGGCTTTTCTGTTAGACCCTTTATGAAGGTCGATCATTTGAGCTTTCAACACAACATCTTAATGCAGAAGAAAGAAAGAGAATATTATTTGAAAAACAAAATAACACTAGGCTTAGCCTACTCCCATAATTTTTGCAAGTGAACCATGTACGGTTCATTCAGAACATCTTCCTATAAGTCAGATGAAAGCATGGAGATACATATATATGTATGTTCAAATGCCAACGGAAATGCTTTATATGTCTCTGTTATAATAAGAAATTCTGTGACTTGTGAATTTCATAGAAAAAATAATCATTAACTTTTTATCATATCTCAATTCTGTATTTTTAGAAAGTAATTGAAATTGCAAGAGGGTGATTCCACCACTGCACTCTACAACCTCTCTGATTTACTGTTTCCACTCTTGGTTAACTCAACAACTGATTCTGAGTCTACAATACCTGGTTTGGGGAGTTCTGTAACGCCATCGGAGCCGCCATCCACTGGTCTTCTAGGTCTCCATCCGATGTTAGTGTAGGGGTCATGCGACCAGTTACTTTCCCGAGTAGGACGCCTACCTCTGGTGTATGGATGCCCCGGCGTGCCATCCCTAGTTAAAATAGAACACTTATTATCTCTGATTTGTGCAACGTAAACAAATAATTCATTCCATATTTTTCATATTGGGAACATTTAGATGACAAAACATGAAATATACAAAAGCTCGAGAGTTGTTTAATCATCCCTGGTTATGCCAAAGTGTTTGCTTCACTCATCTAGGAGGTAAGACATACGCGTGGGTAAAGGGATAATTCTAAAATATCCAAACGAGTCACTGGCCACCAGGCGTGAGACATGTCGTCCATGTAAGGACAAAGTGAAAGTAAAATGCATGTTCGATCGTCTTTTAAAACAAATATGAATTAGGTGGGGATGAACACTTCATGCAAAGTCTTCATTTTACCAGACTGGCTCCGCTTTTAAAGTTTATTTTTACAAAAGTTGCTATGAAAATGTAACAGGGATCAGGAACAATAAAGTACCTTTAAATATGAAAGTGATCACCTTGAAGTTAACAAAAAACAACAGCAAAACATCAACAAAACTAGTCAGTCTTAGATTTACACATGACGAACCCCCCCCCCCCCCGAACATTTTAAACCAAAATAAGTGAAACGCCGCCGCCTTCCAATGTGACGACAACAGTGAAGTAATGAGGTACAATAAGATGAAGTATCTCAGAGCACAACCGGTTACAGGGAGAAACGATTGGGAACATATCCAGGCAATAGACCACTTTCCACGCCGCCTATAAAGTATTAGTCTATATCCAATAGACTGAATTTCCTGAGAATTCAGTCTATTGATCATTATGTCTCTCCTGTGGGAAAAAACAGGAAATTTCCTGCAAACAATTATCAATTTTAGGAAACTTCACTTCCAAAAAATAAGCATTATATAACAATTCAATTAAGTAGTAAGGTACAATTAAATGCTTTAAAAAGTAACACAGAAAATTGTCAAATGGAAATAAAGCTAGGGGAAGTAACAAATATGCAAATTGATTTTCCTAATCGGCCATTTTGAATGGCACTTCCTATGTAAACAAATAATTTTCAATCCCAAATTTTAACATATGTGGGCTATAGTCTGAATATTTTCATTCCAAATTTCAAAAATATTCAGACTAGAGGATATAGTCTATATAAAGTATATCAAATTACGCTGCCCACAGAGTCTAATTTTAAGGTTCAGCTGGAAAGTAACATTTTGGTAAAAAATTGCTATACCTTCACATGTTATTTTCTGGTACAAAATTAAGTATGAAGGCATGTGTGTATTTCCTAGCTTTTTTCAGGAAAGTATCATTACGCTGTCTTCTTTTAGTAAACCTAGAAACGGGCCAATGGTAGCTCCTGTGTTGTCTGTAAACTTTGAAAGAAAATTTGGAAAAATAGAAAGTGTGAAATATCAGAATTTCCTGGAGTTCCCATTGAACTCCTACCAAATATTCTAAAAGAAGACAATGTAATGATACTTTCCTGAAAAAAGCAAGGAAATTGACAAATGCCTTTATACTTTATTTTGTACCAGAAAATAACATGTGCAGGTTTAGCAATTATTTACCAAAATGTTACTTTCCAGCTGTACCTTAAACAACGAAGGCGAAGCTCTCTTTTAAGAAGTGAATTCGAACGAACGCAAAGGGCAATATCAAATGCAACTGTATAAAATGACGACGATCTTACCTTTCTCGAGTAAATCCAATTCTATCACCGTCCGCTGTTGCCATTTTTGCTGTTTTACAAAATATCGGGTGTTGACTTACATGTTACAAAACTAGTTTTTTTACGGTTCAATCAACCTTATAAACATGTACATGTGGGGTTCTTAAGTGACCTCTGACAACGCTAATAATAGTTAATAACTTAAGTTTACTTCGGTCCAAAGCCTTCTCTATATTCCGGCTTTGAGGAGGAAGATTGAGCTGCCTTAGTATTATAAATATTGTAAATCATTGTGTCACACGCACAGTAAATATGGCATAATAATATGAAATATACCTTTATGTATAGATTTGAAGAACATCAGCTCACATCCCCGTCTGAATCTATTGTTATATTTGATTTCTTTAAGCGAGAATAATTTCAACACGTCCAGAACCGGAAGCCATTTTTAGCTACAGCGAGAAAATTTCACCATGAGTCAAACTCCGAAATGAAATTTTGAAATATCTAAATCCAGACAAGCAACGCTTCATCCTAAATATGATTAATATTCTTAAAAATATTTATAAAATTTATTTAAAATGAGTTCTAGGTGCGTGTAGGTGCGTATAGCACAGTACATACGAAATCAATGAAGTTTCGTCTAGCTGTAAGCTAGAGACTCGAGTAAACTTAAGTTCACTACTTTATTCAACTGCGTTGCACGAGCTTTTAAATTGAACGCGTACAAATAAGCTCTGTCTGGCCGGGAACACTTTATAAAATGTTTAGGAAACTACACATGAATATCGATATTAAAATCCTCCAAATGGCAAACAATTCTTACCAGCTTAAAGTGTGCGCCAAAGTTTAAAACTGCGCAGGCGCACCGCTCTCGCTAAACTATATAAAGAGATTACCGGGTACACGATTCAGAGGTAAGCCAGGAAGGCGAAGATCTTCGTCTCGTGATGATTTCCCATATAATCGAAACCAGGGAAGTTTCACCATTGAAATTAAAAATTACTATTAGATATACTTTGTAGATGTTATTTATGAAGCTATTTAGTGTTTGCATCAATCAAATGGCTCATTTTGAACATATAAATATATTTGTGTTTTGTTTCCCAGGGAATTGTATTGTATGTATGTAGTACACACATAAATAGTGTACATTATACAGTACTTGAATAGCCTGGTTTACATAATGTTGAATTGCATGCTGATTACATGCACACGAGTACATGAATGAAGGCCTAATATTGATATACGTAGCTTGCATACCTAAATAAAAAATAAACTCTTCTAATCCCCTAATGTAAACACGGCGGTATACGTAGCCCGATTTATCGGGGACTTTAAGCAATGTTCATTTATAGGCTTACACCAGATTCACTTTACCAGGTTTATATATCATTTTATTCCATTATTTTTGTTAGGCAATTCAACCAAATGATTTGTAGTTTGAGCTTATGCCTTGGTCACATACAGTTTGCCCCAATCCATCGGCCGGTGCCCGACCGATTGAGTGTTTTGTTCAATATTGTATTCAATTTTGAACAAAATACTCAATCGGCCGGGCGCCGTAGTGAGGATCGGAGCAAATTTGAAGAAAAAATGAGGAAATATATAAGCGCAAATACTAGAAGCAAAGGACCAAAAAATGTAAAGAAACTTAGTTAAAAAAACTCGAAGTGTGAACCTGTCATAAGACAAATATACCCTAAACATCCCATAACCATGGTGTAACGTTTAAAGAAATAATGTCTAACAACCTCCTCTCGCCCTCCAATCGAGAGCCAATATCACATATCAGAACCAGAATACCAAGAGAATCAATGTACTGTAAACGAAAGTGCCAACGGGAAAATTCCTAAAATGGTTATACAGGGCGTATAAAAAACGCAACAAGTAGTTATCTCGTAAAATCACAAAACTAATGATGACTACATCAATTTTATTCAATGTACCATAAAGCCACGCCTCTCCTCTTTGCAATGATATGTCATTCATTCACAAGTGGTAATGGTTGAGTGAGAAATCCTTCCATTTGCATAGTGGGTCAAAATCGGCTCTGCTCCAAGTTTGCTCACAATTCCTCCACCAGATATTGCAAAACCTCGAGAGAGAATTGCCCATGGGCTGTTTTTCTCTGCTTTAACCCACATATGACTCAGGGCTGAACCATGCATGACATGGAGAGATGAGCGCATCTTTATGTGCAAGGAAGTGGTGGCAATTTGGAGGGGTTATAGGATGTATTCTTGCAAGAGTATGAGTATGAACACTTTACTGTCTATGCCACAACTGTCACACCTTCTTCCAATAGCCCCTATGCCCCTTGTACTGACTTTTGCAATGTTTAAAACTTAGGCCCGAGCTGAACTTTGCCCCACTTTGAAAAATTAATGATTATTCGGCCAATCATGACTCCCTGTGAATGAATGAATGATATTCCATTGGAAAGAGGAGTAATTTGGCTTTTTTGGTACATTGAATGAAAAGGATGCAGTCAGCATTGGTTTTATGTTTTCTTCCAATATTGCCCCGGTCTCCGTACACTGAATTTTGCGATGTTTATACTGTAATTATTGATGGATGGTAGAGCTACCGGGTGGTGATGGGACTTCTGTAGTGATTAATGGTGGAGCTACTGGACTGTAAGGGGACTGAATACATAGTTATTGATTATTGAGCTACTTGGTTGTAAGGGAACTGAATATGTAATTATTGATGCTTGAGCTACTTGGTGGTAAGGGAACTGAATATGTAATCATTGATGGTGGGGCTACCGGGTGGAAGGGGTGTTAAATATATAGTCGTTGATTGTGGAGCTATCGGGTGGAGAGGGAACTAAATACGTAGTTATTGATGATGAAGCTACCGGGTGGTAAGGGACCTAATATACCTATTGATGGTGGAGCTAACGGGTGGTAAAATAACTAAATATGTTGTTATTGATGGTTGAACTACTTTGTGGTAAGGGAACTAATATAGTTATTGATGGTGGAGCTACTGGGTGGTAATGGAGCTAAATATATAGTTATTGATGGTGGAGCTACTGGGTGGTAAGGAGACTAAATATGTTGTTATTGATGGTGGAGCTACTGGGTGGTGAGGCAACTAAGGTTATAGTAATTGATGGTTGAGCTACTTGGTGGTAAGGAAATAATATAATTATTGATGGTGGAGCTACTGGGTGGTAATGGAGCTAAATATATAGTAATTGATGGTGAAGCTACTTGGTGATAAGGAAACTTAGACTTCTTGATTTGGGATCTACCGGGTGGTAAGGGAACTGAATATTAGTTATTGATGGAGGAACTACGGGGTGGTAAGGGGACTAAATATGTTGTTATTGATGGTGGGGCTACCGGGTGGTAATGGAACTATGTTGTTATTGATGGTAAAGCTACTTGGTGGTAAGGGAACGAATATAGTTATTGATGGTTGAGCTACTGGGTTATAAGGGAGAATAAATATGTTGTTATTGATGGTGGAACTACCGGGTGGTAAGGGGACTAAATATGTAGTTATTGATGGTGGGGCTAACCAGTGGCAAAGGGACTAAATAAGTAGGTATTGATGGTGCGTGTACCGGGTGATACAGGAACTTAACAAAATAATCATTGCCAGTATAACTAAAACATGTATATTAAAAGTAAGTTTATTGAAGCTCTGCAAATATAGTATAATAATTATTACACTTTTATGTATACATTTGTATTTTCATAGAGATCAATCATTCATATAACAATCTGTTTATAATAAACGTCATATATAAGCTGGAATAAACTCAGGTAATGTGATATGGTGGATTATCCTAAAATTTACGAAAAGCAATATATATAAAGGCCTAAGTTGCGTATATGCATTTGCCTAAACAAGGCAACTGAAGATGCTAATATCTCTTATCTGTTTAATTGATTGTCTTGAGCATATGAGGACATGCCAGTAGTTATAAAAATGAGTCATGGTCCGTCCATATGGTTTGGTTTTATCTCTAGTCATTGCCTGAGAATCAGTTGAGTTCCTCTTGTTGAACTAACAACAATATGCATATTTCTTCAGGTCCTGCAACTGATCTCCTGTCACTGGTATTGATCTATGCTTTGAGCACTGTTATCTTCGCATCACCCGTTATGTTCGTTAGCTGCCTGCTGTTAAATGTAGCATAGATAGTACGGTTTCCATGGAAACGTGGTGTCATTTTCACCGTCCTTGTCAGAACATCACCAGGGCGGATTGCCTCCCTAGAAGGAAAACAGAAATAAAGTGTTTCCTGTACTTGATATATACGTAGTTCAACGTATCTCATAAGATTTCCCAAGACACAAAGCTCGGTGATTAGAACTTAATTGACAGTCATGGTCATGGCACTTGAAAATTGTAAATATCGTAAAATTATTTAAACTAGTTTAATCTATAAATTTAAACAATTTTTAACTTGAAATTAATTGAAAGGAAAAAACAGCTTTTTAGCTTTTTAGATTATTATATTCCCCAGAAATGCTAAGCATAACTCACGGTATATTGATGACCACTTGTTTCTGGCCTGCACCTTCCACTCTCAACTCTCCATTGGTCATGTCAATCTCGAGTTCACTTCTTGGCATGCTGATTGTGACCTCAATCTCTTCCCCGGCCACTGCATCAGTCATAGGTACCTGAAAAGAAAGTTTCTATGAAGAAAAATGGTATTTTTTAACCAACTTCCTTTGCAACTAATTTATTTCCTTTGAGTCACAATTCTGTAAATCTAGCGCAATTGTAACATACTAACTCTTACAAATATGCTACACATCTTGGAAAAATGGTCCTGCGAAATTGCAACCAATTTGGTTCTTTAGAAATGTATTTTGAAATTTTTGTTAGACTTATTGTATATAAACTAAATAAAGTATACAGCAATCACAATTCTTATTCAACTTACAGCAATTTGTAAATCTGGCTTTTCAATTGTAAATTTGAATATATGTGTAAAGAACTGATCAGTTTCCTGCACATGCGCACACATGTAAACTCCAATATTAGCATCTTCATCCACCTCGTTTAGGTAGTCCTTTCCAAGAATCGTCCACTCAGCAAAGCGTTCTAAAAGAAAAAGAACCCAATAGTTATACCACGTCCTAAATCATCCCAACAAGTGTATGTGATGTTATGCTTAGAGGTATCATCTACCTACAATGAATTAAGCAATAGTAAAAATGTACTGGGTATCCCAAAGGAATCTCGCCCCCGCCTCCAAGGCAGATATATACCAATGTCTCCATAGTATGTCTCACATATCATTTTACACCCCGTGCAGACAGATCGCCTAAAATTACATTTGTATGATGTGAGTCTCGACATTCAACTGGAAACTAGAAAAATTTTGTCACCCATGAAGCAAATTATTTTTTACTGCTTAATGAATTGTGAATGGCAATCACATTAGGTTTTACAAGTAAGAGAATAGCATGACGTTTTGATATTTCAAAGCAACTCATTTGAAAAGCGAAGGTGGTGATTGAAATAAAGAAGGCAATATAATACCGCATTGAAATATTTGTAGATTTCTTTGAAAAATTATTAAAAATATATCACATGTCGAATTCTTTTAAAACAGAATTATATGTACCAGGTCGATCAATAAGTTCTGAGAATTTTCCTCTAAAATCAAGAGTTTTGTGAATTTTTATTTGAAATTTTCACAGAACATGTAATATGAATTCAGCAATTGGTGTAAGAAGTTAAATGCACTTTCTTGGGCCAAAATTATGGTTACCATGGTAACTCGTGTTTTGGGTAGGCGGGGCAAGTATTTTTAACGTAAATATGACATCATAATTCAGGACAAATTACATAATATTACTATTACATCATAATTCCACAACCTCAATGTACCCTGCCAAAATGGCCGCTCCAAAAGATGCTAAAAATTTGGAAGAAAATGAGGAAATGTCAATACAGATGCGCAGTGCCATACGATTGGTGGCAAAAGTAAACAAGAAACACTCAAGGAGATGTTGGTAGCCTTTCCAGGCAGGATATCCACTAAAACTATTTACAGATGGTATGGCAAATTCCAAAGTGGGAGAACCAGTGTAAAAGATGAAGCAAGGTCAGGAAAGCCACTATCTGTTACAAAGCCCACAAATATAATGAAGCTCAAGACTGTCCTTGATGAAGACAGGCGAATAACAATCAGGGAGTTAAGTGAAAAAGTAAACTTCAGCTATGGAAGGACACAGTACATACTGAAAGAGAAGCTCCATATGAAGCTTGTGTGTTCTAAATGGGTGCCAAAAGATCTAACCATGGACCAGAAGCAGCGCCGGGTCGATGTTGCACAAGACTTCCTCAGACGATACCAAGCAGAGGGGGAGGCTTTCTTGGAGCGCATTATTACTGCTGATGAAGTTTATGTTTCATATTATGAGCCAGAAGGCAAGAGGGCCACAAGTGGATGGAGAACAAAGGACTCCCTACCCCTATGACGACCATTGCTAAACTCAATCGTAGAGATGGCAAGGTTATGTTCATCATTTTCCTGGATATCTACGGGGTACTCCTGGTGCATGCAGTCGCTGAAGGACAAACCATAAGCAAAGACTATTATGCTATGGTAAGTTAGTGTGTGGCTATTGATGCCCTTCAGGATCATGTCTTGCCAGAGAATTTATGTTCACTCTAGTCTAGGTAGTTCAGCTTGAATGTACATGTAGTTTAAATACATCTAGTGAGGGAATGGTGCCCTAAAAATCACTTCTTTTTTCAGGTATTGAAACGTCATCTTAAAGATTCTCGCAATCTTTATCCAATCAGCGTTTGCGATGTGTACCGACTCACGTATAAAAGGCGAATCCAACTGAAATCCATGCAGGGGTGTATGAGGTACTGGAATAGGAAAGAGCTCGTGAAATCTGAATTTACATGTATATGCACATGGTCAATGTTTACACATGTTTGGAGTTATTGAAGAAAATGTGATATGGGTGTGGTTCCGAATTTGAAGTCATTGCTGGAAAATATGATTTTAATACGTGAAAATATTATATCTATAAATACAGCACTAAAAATAACAGTACACATGAAGTACATGTATGATTGTGTCCAGAAATGTTTGAAACCCTTACGGAAAATTCTGTCTGCATTTTGTCACCATTGCTCTTTCTTCCCGCATTCTAGTGCTGTTTGAATGAATATATTAATTAATGTATTTCTAACTAAAATATATCACACTTTTTATAAACCACAAACATCTAGATCATCAAAAAAATTATTCAATACTTGAGTGAGCACGATATGCAAGGGTTACTAAGTTGACACAGTAAATGACCACTGATATTGTGTTAGTCCATGCACACAGCGTATTCTGCTAAGGCCATAAAAAGTACATTCTCTGTTTTGCGTCCCCTTGCTTGCACAATTTTGAGTAAATCAGAAAAAAGCAAGCACATCCAAATAGCAATTACAATGGTTTGAAAGTACCATCGCATTTCATTCAATCAGAATCGGACGAAATGGCAGATCATTTGATGTGTGTCAAAATTGACAGTGTTATTGATTACTTTAGCATACATTGTGTATTTTCTTATTTTGTACCCTTGAATAAATAGCTATGCTTAAATATATTGTATAGGATGTATAGATATGTGTTTGTAATCACTGCAAATTGGCATGTCATTCCTTTATATGCCCATAAACAAGTTTGTGTTTTTCTTGAGTTTGTGTTTGTTTTCCTTGTACCATTGCATGATTTGGATTTTGGCATGACGCAAAACAAATAACCTACTTCTTATGGCCTAATACACATTTTTGCTAACACCCCTCACTTTCATAGTGCAGTGACTAATTGGTTTATGTTTACGTTTTAATGTGTTTTGGGTTCCTTGTTACAGCAAGGGGGGCCAGTAAAGTAGACTAACATGTTTGCATGGCAAGTTTTGATCGAATATGTGAGACACTTTAAGCGGGCTATTGCAAGAAAACGCCCTGAAACAGAGCTGTCCCACACATCTTCGATTGTCAAAAGCACTGTATCTAATGACCTTCAGATGGAACAACTACCCCATGCTCCCTATTCACCAGATGTTGCGATCTGTGATTTTGGTGTGTTTGGACCGATGAAAGATGAGCTGAGAGGATTCAGATATGCGAACTTTACAGACCTCCAAAATGCCGTGCAAAATGCCCTGAAAAAACGTTTCCCAGATGGATTTAGGCACTTGTTCCGCCAGTTGGTTCAACGCCAGGAGAGGTGTATTAAGAACCGAGGAAATTACTTTGAACATCTTAATTGAACCCCCTTGACATCTTACTAGGACTATATGACCAACCCTAATGCAGGAAGCAGCTCAGAACTATATTTATAATTGATTTATAAATGATTTATTTACATTTTATGCGCTTTACTTCTGACATTAAAATTATTTGCCCCGCCTACCCAAAACACAAGTTACCATAGTAACCATATTTTTGGTCCAATAAAAGGAAAGTAAGAAAAACTTGGTACACTAATTGCTGAATACATTCTACATATTCTGTGAAAATTTCATTCAAAAAGTCACAAAACTCTTGATTTTAGAGGGAAATTCTCAGAACTTATTGATCGACCTGGTATATATAGATTAGGCCTGTAGGTCCGATTCCCCCTGGTAAGATTGGAATTGGCCTCGTATATGTTATACCATTAATATTTGAAACACTACTATTATCCGAACTGATGATTGGACATGGGTATGGTGTGCACTTCAGTGTAATAAAGTAACATCATACTTATGTCCGAGTTTGAATAATAGAATCTGATGTGTTTCAAGTATTCATTGAGTTGAGAAAGAGAATGCTGAGAGCAAATACTCCACGGAAACTCTTCTATAATACTTTAAAAAGGTTTCATGAAAATTACAAAATGCCATATGTTTTGAATGCCCCTATATTTGAAGCCCTCTAAGGACATAACCGAGAGAATTGCTACTGTCAACATAGCCAAGGTGAACACACGGAGAATCAATTTGTTTCAAAACTGAATTTGAATTTTGGCCAAACACTAAATTTGGAAATGCCTGTAACTATTTCCTATTTGTGAGTTAAAACATAATACCAATCAAACTTTAAAATAATAAATGACACATAATTTGCAGACATTTGTATAGGTCTGTCTACGGGGGGGGGGGGTCCTTACCTTTTGGGACACCCTACACGTGTGATTAATATCAAATTAAATAACCTATGCGTTCTGGCAAATTATGGTCTGGTTCTGCCTTTTTAGTATTTCAGACAATATTACTAAAGCTTACCTTGCTTTGGTGGAATGGTTACTGTGACATTATGTTCCTTCAGGGTCTCTCCAGCAATGCCAGTGTAATATGTGGCTGTTGCATCATATACAATGTCAACCGTTCTGGCTTGGTCACTTTTATTTTTGATTATTGTTTTGATAATAGCATCACCATTCCTTTTGCTTGTCTCAGAGGGTGTGAACACAAGGTCTTGTCGTTCCTCAAGTTTGTAAAGGTCACTAAGCTCTGCTTTTCTTGAGCTATGCTTACTTGCACGCTTCACGGCTTCTCTTTCCTCTTGTGATCCTACAAGATGAGTCAGTATAAGATTTGCGAATCAAAAGTATACAAAGTGTCTTTAAGACTGAGTAAGAATGAACAAAGGCTACAATTGAAACACATTAGATCTCGAACCCCCTGTTTAACATTTGGACTGTTTTCATGTTCATACATCACAGAATCTATATATCTAGAATTTGTTGTTGTCTGTTAAGATATAAGCATCTCTATTTTCATCATTAACATAACCATTTTTGATTTGGTAATATTTTGCTTCAAGCGCATATGTACCTTCTGGGTATTTGTAATGATCAGTCACATCATTCCTTGTGTTTGACCCCACAGCTTTTGTACTGATCTGGTGTCCTATTGCATGTTGATCTCCTCCTATTGCCCTCAACTCTCCATTCCATTCCTGCACCCACTTTACTCTATCTCCATTCACCTCCCCGAATATAAACTTGGTATCCTGACCAAGATATACAAGGCCTTCTTTGATTGCATTCACTGGTGCTGGACCACATCTGAATACGCCTGAAATATAGGTAAACGTTTGTAAATTTGGAGATTTGTCCGATAATGTTTAATCCAAGCTTTGGCAAGGCCAATTCACCCAATGTATGATATACAGTATTGTTAGTTTGATGGATTTAAGAGAGATTAAAGGTTTCTGCTTTTAAAATCTTGTGTGCTTGTAAGTTATTTCTATAACGTTTGACACTGCATATTATCACAGTTTCAACTATTGTGAAAAGGTTTAAATGACGTCGTACATAGTTATTGACATTTCGAGCGCTCAAATAAGTATTGGACGATGCACCAAATACAATACAGTCATCTAAATAAAGTAACGAGAAGATGCATGTGAAAGTATACAGAACAAACCTCAGATATGTCTTAGTTACTGGCTTACCAGATAAACATATCACAGTTCGCTCGAATTATGAAAACCCATCATGTTACATGATTTTATGATTTTCTCCAATATGTAATTTGGTGATATGCAACAGCTAAATCAAGATGTTCAATTGAATGTATTACATTACTTATAAAGGAAATTGAGACACGTGGGTAATATTCAAAATCACAAAACATGTTGTGTATATAAAGTAGAATTTAGAAGTTACCTTCACTTTGCTCTTGTGGTGTTGAATCTATGGCTTGCCAACCACCCATGCCATCAGGAAGGTCAGGTCGGCTCATATAAGCCTCATTCCAAACATGGAAATTCCTAATATGCAATAGAAGACATTGCTATATAATTCCTGATAACAACACACACGTAGTCATTCAAAGCTAAATCAAACATTAAATTAAACAATTCACAATACAGAATATTCCCACCTGGTCTCAAGGTATATGCTATAAAATCAAAGTGATGTTTTGTTGTATCTAAAATCAATTACTTAACTACATATGGCCTGAAACAATGTACAATCAATGCACGATTCTGTCCATGAGTACATTAGTAATTTCCTTACCAGACGGAATCATCCAAATGCTTCAAAGGTCTCCCTGCTGAAGCCCAATGGTTGTCAATGGTCATACTCAAATCAGTATCATGGGCACTGTCAAAGTTTGTTACACTCCTTGCAGGAATGCCCAAAGTTCGGCATACTGGAAAATACAACAATTAATTAGAAAGAAGACACATGTATTAACTCCCAAATGGTTGTCAATGGTCATACTCAAATCAGTATCATGGGCACTGTCAAAATTTGTTACACTCCTTGCAGGAATGCCCAAAGTTCGGCATACTGGAAAACACAACAATTAATTAGAAAAACACATTTATTAAGCTCCAAATGGTTGTCAATGGTCATGCTCAAATCGGTATCATGGGCACTGTCAAAGTTTGTAACACTCCTTGCAGGAATGCCCAAAGTTCAGCATACTGGAAAACACAACAATTAATTAGAAAGAAGACAAATTTATTAACTCCCAAATGGTTGTCAATGGTCATATTCAAATCAGTATCATGGGCACTGTCAAAGTTTGTTACACTCCTTGCCATCCTCCTAAGCAGGTGTCCAGAATCCGTACCTCCTTCTTCCCCCTGCTATAAGCAGTTGGCATTTCCCCGATTAAGAACTCGCAATTTGTTTGGCTGTCACAACACTGCGACAGAAATCATGTATACGTCATCGGCGCATAATAAGATCACGTGTTTCAGTTCAATCGGGTGCGTCCAACTTGGTTATAGCAGGGGGTAAAAAGAAAGAAGATATTCTGGATTTTGAAGCCCTGTGATCGGAGGATGACTCCTTGCAGGAATGCCCAAAGTTCGGCATACTGGAAAATACAACAATTAATGAGAAAGAAGACATGTGTATTAACTCCCAAATGGTTGTCAATGGTCATATCCAAATCAGTATCATGGGCACTGTCAAAGTTTGTTACACTCCTTGCAGGAATGCCCAAAGTTCGGCATACTGGAAAATACAACAATTAATGAGAAAGAAGACACATGTATTAACTCCCAAATGGTTGTCAATGGTCATACTCAAATCAGTATCATGGGCACTGTCAAAGTTTGTTACACTCCTTGCAGGAAAGCCCAAAGTTCGGCATACTGGAAAACACAACAATCAATTAAAGAGAAGATACATTTACTTTTCATGACAATTCAAAAAGTTAAATGAATAATTGTGTAAAATCATCAAACTAATTGTAGGATATTGCGTATTCAGAGGATCATCACTATAAAGAATTAAGAATCCCTAATTTTACTCAAATAGTACATAAGTAACTTCCCATTTCCTAATACTATTTTGGGTACTCACAGGTAGTCAAAATTCCTGAAAACACCCAGCATTGGCCAAATTTCACAGTACGTTTGGTTCTCATGAATTCATCAAAGATTGCAGGACTACCGGTCCATTTACTTGGAGAAGTACCCCCACTGTAATCTCCAGACCAATTACCAGCTAATACACCCCCATCACCGTCATTGTCGTTGGCCTGTATGTAGAACAAATAAATCAAGAGAGTTAATTGATTCAATTAAATGCATGTATCATCATTAGTTTGAACCCTTACGATTATGAAGATGAAACAATATTGTAATCTTACCATTGCAGTCAGTTTGCGTGCCACCAAAATTGGATTTCCATGTGACGTATCCTTCAAATCAGATCTTTCCAATAGATACAGGGCAGCGTTCAGACATTGTTCTTCAAACTACAATGATACAAAATAAGTTAACGTGGGTATTATAACCTACTTAGGGTTTTTAATTTGCCAAATGTGTTTCACATCTTTATATTTTATGGTATTCATGGATTATGAAAACAAAACATACAGATCGTATTGTGAATTACATGATTACATGTAAGGATATGCTGAAAGACTAACCTACTAAACTATTTTACATCTACAGAGAAATATACAAATGCGAACAATAGAGGCAGAATATTTGTAAGTATGATGCACAGAATTTGCTGACTATTCTACATTTTTAAATGTGTGATATATACAACTAAACTAAAACTGTACAACTAACTAAAAATGTACCAAGATGTTATTGTATGATGATATTTCCATTTGAAATTATAATAGTAAACCGTAAATTAATCATCGGTTAGCCTTTACAATCTTTCAACATTTTGTTCCAAATTAAATTTTCTTCATAGTTATCATTTATCTTACTAGAACACATTGGGTAAGATTAATTTCAAGGACTAACAGACAGGCTAAGAAGCAAATCTGCAGTTCTTAGAAATAAAGATGTAAAACTGAAATGAATCTCGTTATTCTTTCATATTCCATATGTTAATACAATCGACTCACTTGACCAAAATGCCAAATTCGTCCATTATTACGATATGCTGCCCCAACCCAGATTCTTCCATCTTCATTAAGAATATATTCGTTCCTTTCGGCCTCATCGGGAACTAAACACTGGTCAGCTAAAAAAGAGAGGATTAAGACTTAAGATATATGATTTTCCATTGAATTGTTGAATTAATAATGTGTAATATATGTATTACAGAAACGCCTAATCTCTGCATAACTGTCTAGAATCTAGTCGTCTGTTTTAAATATTGGAAAAAGTTCGAAGTATCATTGGTATTTTCAGAGTGGATACATAAGCAAGATTAATGTGTGTCATGAAAGAGGAATTGAGGAGTTGTATACCTTTACACCATGGATTGAATAGAATTACGAGTTCTTCTTTATTCTTATATCTGAAGTAGTTGCCTTCTTTATCAAAAGTCTCAACGAAGAGTTTATATTTGCCAACAACGGCATCAGCTGCAGGTTGTACTTGGATTGTAATTTCATTGCCATTGATCTTGCTGAGTCGTGCACACCAGTCATTACCAGTTAGCTTATCAGACATTCGGAGTCTTACAAGTGTTCCTTTGTTCTGTTGTGGGGTCTCACCTAAAAGACAGATGAATCAACTCTCAGCAAAAGTAGAAACATTAGAATCTTAGCATCCTAGTTTAAACATATTTTTGATAGTCACAGATACTTATTTTTCTAAAGACATCCGATAACCATAAGGCTACCTATTTTTAATTTTCTTTCGTAAAATCTTATTTTGAAAAGAGTAATTTAACAATCCGTGTCACCTTTTGTCAGTTGAACAATAACTTTGTCAGTGGCCTTGTCGAAGTCACTATTGAGAATGGCAGTGAATTCAAATAGCTGCCCTCTTCTCACTATGAGACTGCTGTCTTCATATTCGTCAGTGTGGTGGGCTTTTCTGTTCGACTCTTTATGAAGGTCGATCATTTGAGCTTTCAGCACAGCATCTTATTGAAGAAGAAGAAACATTCTACTTTATAGGAGACGCTTTTATATAATCCTTGGGAGAGTATTTCAATGGATAGTACAGGCTTTGGACCTCATTATGAGAAACAAGGGAGAATCTTATTTGAAAAGCAAAATAACATTACTCCCATACTTTTTTTGCAAAAGTCATTAAACTTTTCAATTCTTATTAGCACATTTTCACTTGAGCTTCTGTATTAATTACTTGTGTTTTTATGAGATATCTCAATTTTGTTTCAGAAAATGATTAGATTCTAAAGGAATGATTCCAACACTGCATTCTCTAACCCTTCTGATTTACTGCATTCAACTTGTTTTACTCACCGACTTTTTCTGGAACTACAACCTCTGGTTTGGGGGGTTCGGTGCCACCACTAGTGCCACCACCGCTGCCACCACCTATCGGCCATCTAGGTCTCCATCCGATATCAGTAGAGGGGTTGTTAAACCACCACCAGTTACTGCCCCAATAAGGACGCCTATTACCCCTGGTGTAGCGAGGACGGTTCCGTCGATGTCCCGGCGTGCCACCCCTGGTAAAAATATAATATTTATCAACTCCAGTATATGCTATGTTAACAAATACGCCCTATTACTCCTGGTGTAGTGAAACGGTTCCTTCGATGTCCGGCGTGTCACCCCTGGTAAAAATAAAAATGTAGTTGTAGTAATAGTAAAATAGTTTATTTAAGTCTCACGCATACATACATACATGTTAAAAATAGTTTTTAAAAAGCAAGGAGTGTATCCCCAGCCGTCTCCGGCTTACGAACATGTACAAGGTGAGCCAAAAAAGGTATAACCCGAACACATGTTCGTTATTAACTCAGTCATTCAGCATGGTTTTAAAATCATAATTAGCACAATTTAACCTTGTTCAATGTTCTTTTATTCTACTTTGTGCCATTGGTCTATCCCTAATAGTCACGATTTTATGGTCATTTACAAAACATGGTCAAAATGCCGAAATTTGCCTCATTGGCCGGACATAAATACGACCAGATTTTTATCTGTAGGCCTATTTTCTACACTAACAACCCTTGAAACATTGAAACAAGAGATGGAAGGAAGATGAAACGCACATAACAAGATCTTTATGCTCGTGTTGTGAACAAATACACCCAAATATGTTCAAGTTGGCCTCCAGACATGACGCCTATATTTTATGGCATGTTTTGTAAAGTGGCCATAATAGTGGCCACTAGAGACACTAGACTTGGTAGAATGATAATTCACTGGACAAGGCCTAATTGTGCTAAATATGACACTAAACCCATGCAGGATGATCGAGCTATTAAGATTTGTTTGGGTTGCCTCCTTTGAATGACCTTGTATTATCTCTGATCTGGGCAATGTTAACATAAAATTAAATCTAAATTCTTCAAATGCAAGTGGCAAAACATGAAATATACAAAGGATCAAGACTTGTTCAATTATTAACTCATCTTGGAGCTAAGATACGTGGGGATAGGGGTTGTCATAAACGATCCAACGGAGTCACTGGCCACCATACCTGAGACTCGTCACCTATGTAGGGGCAACGTGAAAGTAAAATGCATGTTTGATCTTCTTTTCAAATAAAAACAAACAATTTTGTGAAATATCTAGGATGAAAAGAATGAAATTATATGTCACTTGTGAACGATATATAATAAAGGCTGAAACAAAAAATGATGAGCAAATTGCGAAAAGATTGGTTTTAAAATCACCGTGGTTGTTGCATGTCATGTATCAAAGTCTCACCTTTACAAGGATACCTGAAAGTGGCACAAATTACAAATATTATTCTAAACATTATTTGATGCATCACAATCATACCTGATAACAGGTTTGGATATATAAACAAATTGAAGTTCAATACAAAATATACACAAAAGTTTCAGACCTCTACAATAAAAAAGGCTTGAATTGTAGTATTAGATTTCTCAGATTTTAAATTTATTGGTACAGGACAGGTACACTGGGGCTCAGAGTATTTAGCATGGAAGGTATGGGGAGTCATGTATCATTCTTTCCCTCATCCCAAGGAAATACACATAAAGACCACTGCTACTGGATGCGATATAGAACTGAACGCAATACCGGTCTTTTCATTTATTTATTTATTTTCATAATCCGTTTGTAGTTCACAAAACGACTTACACGCAGGTATGTTTCGCTTTAAAGTGACCATCAGCGTGTTTATTACTTTTTAACATATACCCTACAATGGATAGTAATACCACAAATAGAATGCGTTTTCTGCAAAATAAATTATTTACTATTAAAGTTGCTTCGGTTGCTTTTCGATCAATTGTGATCACGTGATTTAAAAAGCTTGATGTTGCTATAGTAGTGAGGTCACCTGAACCTTGCTCTATATCTTTTAAGATCCACTTAACCACCCTATATATTATCAAATACAAGTGATTTTTATGTCATTCATGTTTATCCCACCTACCTATTCCTGTTCCTATAGTCATGCCGACCTAGGGGATAATCATAAGGTGTATACGGCGTGCGAGAGGAATGGTTTGGTTGGTTGTTGGTCCTGTGTCTAAAGTCGAATGACGAATATTCCCTATACATGCTTGCTTATTAATGTGCATTTATGAAAACGGGTTGCTGTGTACTATCGTCATGTACTTTTTTGAGATACTGATGTGATTTCCAAGAATTGTCGTGTGTTCTGCTTGGGGCGACTATACGAGCACTAATCCTACGTTTTGTTTATACCCAAGATTATGAAAATTGCACCTATAAATATTTCGTGCTTACGATTGAAAGACTATTATTGACTCTGTAGTTTTCTGCGTTGTATTTCTATGAAGTTATTGATTTACTGACATTTATACCCTCAAAGGGGAAATCCTTTCATTGCTAAATGTGATTTTCAATGGTTTTGCTCAATCTAGGTGATTGGGTTATTGTGGTATGTTTTACAACTTTTCGTCTTTAAATGTGTTTTGTGTCGCTTGGGGCTTTCTGTCGAGATAAGGAATAAGAAACCTATCATGGTTTACAGGACTCGGAAACTTATTTATAAGGTTTTCGTTATTATATCACTCTTACATATCACAATTTTCCTACAACTTCATTAATATTAATCATTAATAATTAGAATCAATAAAAATTACATAAACTTCTCATCATGCGGAACCACCTTGGCTCAGAACAGAATATGCATGAAGTTTCACATTTCTTGAAATTGATTTGCAACTCTTTTAATAATTTAACAAGTTGGCCGATTGTTTTCTAATTTGTACAAATAATATAATTCACATTCCACATTTTATTAGCTGAATTTCAACGTTTTGATTGGTTCAGAAGATCAAAGCTAGTATTTTTTGAAGAGCATATTCAAGTAATATACTAAATGGTCAAGTGTCCTTCTTAATGCATACACCTTCTCAGACATGTTTTGTTGCTCGAGGACTCTATAAATTAAACAATAAATCTTGCAATGTTATGTCATTCTAACTTGCAAACTTTTATACACGTAAAAACTCCCGAGCGCTGCAAGTACTGCATATCTGGACTATATCTTTGGCAGCGTGATTTTAAATTGACGTAGGTTGAAAATATTAATTTTTCACGTTCTGTGCTTCATGCAGTGTATTAATTCAACTTGATTTTGTCTCAGCTTTGCGACTGACTTCTAGAACAGAAAAATTCCAAAGAGTAGTGACTTCCTTGCACAACCTCTTGTATTCCTAACTTCACTATGTTTTAAAACAGACATTTTCCACATAGTTTGTCAACTTAAGGTAATTTCATCATACAAATATCATACAAAACAATTGTAACTGTAAGCATATTCTTTAAGTACCTGTTTTTGTTTCAAAAATAATTTGGCACACAGCCTTACAGATTCTTTGGGGGAATGAAACTTTTGTGTCATAATCAATTTGGCTTGAGAAAAATATACTTATTTGGCTAAAGCTTTTAGAAAATTTCGGTAATGTTTTAGATGATTAATAGTTTGAGTTGGCATATTCCTGGACCTCTAATTCAGAGTTAACATGATTAATAAGAGTACTTAGGTTTTTATGTGAGCAGAGAAGGTTTGAATCATCAGTAAATATAACAAATTTAAATATAGAAGATGTCGTAACAATGTCATTGATGTAAATGAGAAACAGAATAGGTCCAAGGATCGAGCCCCGTGGAACCCCGCAGGTGACTGTATTGACTTTGGAAGTCTTGTCATTATATTCTTCTTCTTGAGTTTCGGTTTGTAAGATAGCCAATGAACCACTTATGTGCATTTCCCCTGGTTCCATAATAGTATAATTTTTGAAGAAGTATTTCATGATTAACCGTATCAAATGCTTTAGACAAGTCGATGAAAATAGCAATATTAAGATCTTTCTTTACAATTGATTGGATTAATGTTTCTAAGAAGCTTGTAATAGCCGTATATGTAGATCTATTTTTTCTAAAGCCAAATTGCTGTTCACAGAAGATATTATTTGATTCCTTATTTATTCCTTGAATATTATTAATCGAGTCGCGTGTTATTTTTCAAACAAGAATCACTCCTTCCCCACATTGTCTACATCTTCCAGTTTTGCACAAAGAGTGCCTAAACGACAATAAGAAATAGCTAAAAGCACAATCGATCAAAAAGTAAGCAAACGCCCAAATCCCAAAGTGCCATTATGTAAGCATACATTACAAATGAAAACTAGAAACAAATGGAAGAAATACTCCAATACAAATAAAAATAGCCAACTTATTCTCGATAAAGTGTTCGATAGTTTTTGTTCAAAACCAACAGATCCAGTTCACTAAACCATTACCGAACGTTGAAATTATTATCACCGGTATAGATTTAGGTGGACGATCTTACCTTCCTCGATATAATCCTATCCTAGCACCATTCGCAGTTGCCATTTTGATGTTTACAAAATCGTGTGCATTGACTTATATAATATGCTACAAAGGTACTTTTTATACGGTTCGATCAACATATCCTGATTTGGGGATATATGCTGAATATATGTGACCTTTGTAAACGTTAATAATAGATTATAATTAGCTTAACATTAACTCAAGTTTACGACTTATTCAACTATGTCAGCATAAGCTTCAAAAGCAATAAATAAAGTTAATGTGAATGCAAGACCAGTGTGACATTCTCAAACTACACAAGAGTGTAGTGTATTTTGAAGAATCGTGCTTTTTGAAATTAAATTCAAAACGGCTGCAATAATGTGAGACGGGCGAATGCAATAATTGAAGCTATAACCAAAGTATGATGAATATTTCAGCACCTGTAATTATTGATTTTATTACAAAATTGAAACAATTTGTACAGACGCTGAACTCCAATTTTAAAAAAAATCATCAAATTTTCACAAAATTCCAAACGATTGTATAAAGGAACAAAATCAAGATTCATACATTGGCTGGTTTGACATTGATATGCTGTCCAATGAAAAGTCTCTGTTGCCAAACTCATGGTGGGGCTAAGTGAACCAATACACTTCACTGGATGTTAATTAAATGTTAAGTATAGTTGATGATGGTATAGTTGCAATTGATAGTCGATGACAGTCCATATCTCAAAACGTATCAAGACACATTATTTAAAAAACTACCAAAATTTTAGCATATTTCATTCTAAATAATCTAAAATTCATTGATACCATTTACATCACCAATATTGAAAAAACAATTCGAAATGCTAATGTACTGATCACTTAATTTGTTTGTATTTTTTTAGAAAATAATGTCAAATCTATCCCAAAGCATATGATTATTAGAATTCATTTCCATTTCTGTAGCATTATGTACTCCAAATTGTGAAAATGTGATTTAGTTTTTACTATTTTTTTACCCCTGTTAATGACACGCATAATTCAGCCCAAAGAATATTGATCGGCCATAATTAAAAACAATTCTGGACATATGTAAATATATAAGGTCAAATATCGCTGCTATATCAGGCATGAATTTCATACCATGGGCTTTATTTACTGGGATGAAACGTAGAGGCACAATTTTTCAGGTGTTAAGGTGGCCTAAAGTGCTGCTTATTTTTTCGTGAAGCCACTCAGTAAAATCACGATTTCTCTGCACCCTGATGTCCAATCAACATCATTCGAGTATCTATGTGTTCCTGACGTGTTTGGGCATCCGATGATGACAACGTCTACGAAAAGCTGAAAAGCCCCAATAAGACAATATAAACCCAGATAAAACCCGGAAGACTGCAGATTTCATTAAATGATTTACGTTCATGTAAATTAGTAAAGTACATATAATCCCCATATAAAACACTGGCCTATGTGACATGTAATAACATGTTTGCTTCCGTGTTCTGTATGCCCCTCTACCTGCTTAATAAGGCAATGTATCTTCAAATGAAACCTTAGCCAAATAGATTAGAGTCTCTGGAACACTTTTGTAAATAGTATTCACAAGCAATTTTGTTTGTTAATCTCAAATTTTGTCTTCCCGAATTCAGTCAAGAATTACGTCAATTTTGCGTGCAAATTTTGGGTGGACGTTGTTATTCCCGGACGCCCAAACGTGTCAGAAACACACAGATACTTGAATGATCTTGATTGGACATCAGGTTGCAGAGAAATCGTAAATTTACTGACTGGCACGAAAAAAATAAAAAGGCTATACGCCGCGTTAAATGCTTTACGGTGTAACACGAATGATACAACTGGTAACTTACCAAAGCATATTGGTCAGCCTTCGCCGAATCGTGCCACTTGTCCATATCCCATGCAAATATTCCATTGTCACTTTATTAACATCACAAAATAAATCGCTTATGTACGTTTTGTTTTTGAGGTAAATATCGACCTGGTGTAGCATATAACGACGAAATGTGGTTAAATGTACGCACTATTGAGCAAAACGTACATTCAATTCATTTAATTCATTTACTTTGATTGAATGTCAGAAGCTGTTTTGTTTGATTTTCATGTCCTTTTCTATAACCAGATATATTTCATAAAAAATACAAACGCCATATAAGACGAGACAAGTTTCCGTTCTGAAAAAATACGGAATTCGACGAAACACGGATTAGGCTTAACCGTGCATTCATTTTATTTATTTTATTGAATATCAGAATTTAGGCTATTGTCAATATTTTGTCAGGTTGTCGTGTCCCCTTATTATAAGCGTATGTGTTTTTAAATAGATATTTCGAGACCTTCCTAGTCTGCTCCGGTTGCCGTGTCCGACAAAGGCAAAACAGTCCTAATTCACGTCACCATACTAGTCAATGGGCAAAAGGGCAAACGCCTTACTTTTTATCTCGATTTATGGATTTATGTAGCCTTACTGGCATATCTGAGGTTCAGAAGCAATGTCTAATCCTAGCTTACTGACTCGTCATGATCACAATTGTGTTGGGACACATTCATTTTTTAAAATTACTTTTCCTTAATATTTTACCCGCCGTAAGGGCCTATAGTAAATACGATAGTGTTTATATCATTACGTATTAGTCGTTTATTTACATTAATACGGAATAAATCATACCATTTTATTTTTCTATCGACACCAAAAACATCTCTGACAATAGAAGAATGAAAAAGGCTTAGGTTTCCAACCTCCGTTGTTTACATTCGCAAAAAACGTGAAAAAATGACAAAAGTTGTCATAACGTTTTGAAATTTCAACGTTTGTAACCGATTTCGCTTACAGGCGACTGATAATCAATTATACGAGTTAAACATTTTAAAAAACTCGATGCTAGTCCACTTATTAATACGGAATGAGTCGAATCATAATTCGATCCATTCCGTATTCTTGCATC